ATTTTTGTGTTTTTTTTTTTATAGAAGAGGGGGCAAACGAGCATGCGGCTCACCTGATGGTAAGTGACTACCGCCGCCCATGAACAACCGCAACACCAGGGGAATTGCAGATGCGTTGCCGGCCGTTTAGAAAGGTGTAAGCTCTTTTCTTGAAGGTCCCTAAGTCGTATCGGTCCGGAAAATCCGCCGGTGGTAAACAATTATGTGTAAAAAAGTCATCAAACAGCATCAAACAATTTATTAAACAAAAGTTGCGTAAACAAGTTCAATGGTTAAAACAAAATTAAATAACAAAACCAAACAATTCTACTGAAAAGAAAAAAAAGTAAATATTATTTCACTTTTACAACTAAGGCAAATCTAACGAATCGCTATATTATGTTAAAATTCAATATATATACATATATATATATATATATACCTTCTGGGTGAACTGATTTCGATGATTCTTTTTTTATTTGAAAGCTGGTGCTTCACATTCACATTTTTATTTTTAGTTATTGTTGAAAACAACTTCGCCATAATGTTCACTATATATCGAAATTATAACATAAAACGTAATTTTCGCGCATTGGACTTTGTGGGATATGAAAATTTGTGTTTATTACATGATTTATTGTGATAACTCACACTTTTTATTTACTTTTCAGTTAATTCTGGCTATTAAATATAGTGATACGTGAACGACACAGTATTTGAAATGGCAATTTTATAAAATACTAGCTGTTCCCCGCGACTTCGTTCGCGTGTTAGGGTTTTTATGTTTTTGCGCGGAACCCTAATTTTTTTTTTAAACAAAAGTAGCCTAAGTTACTCCTTATGAAATCAGCTATCTGCCAGTGAAAGTCCCGTCAAAATCGGTCCAGCCGTTTCGGAGACTACCCGGAACAAACAGACAGACAGACAGACAGACAGACAAAAATTTTAAAAATTGTATTTTAGTTATAGGTACCGTATTTACTTTCATATGCATTTAGTAAAAAACTGTAATTTTGACATTACAAACAGACACTTCAATTTTATTTATTTGTATAGATATGAAATTGTTACGAAGCAAAATATAAGGAATTAAATTTTAAAACAGTGTAATTACTTATCATTTGTATAAAAACTAACAAAAAACTTTCTATTGTACCCACTTAATTTTTTGTAAAATTTCTAGTTGCCTCTTACACTCACGCGGCGAAGGATATAAGACTAAAGTATGTGACGTAAACGCGACGCGAGGCGGAAACTCGTCATTTGAAGTAAATTCTGTTAATTTAAAGAAGCGTAATTTAATAACGAAACTAATTCTAATAAAATTTTAGTTTTATAGTTCATCTAAATAACATTTAAAAAATAATTGTTATGAGCACAATAACTATGGTTCTGACTAAACGTAGTGTAGTGATCATATACTCTTTGGTTCTGAGGGGTCCTTTCTAAATATTACCATACTCTTTGGAGCGTTCTACAAAGTTGACCTTGGATTGCCTCATGTGTACTTCAAAGGCTTGACAGATTAAACTTCTTAATGGCTTCAATCCAAAATGCTTTGTGGGCACTATTCAGTTTGACTGGACCTCGTATTTTTCCTGGAGCCCTACCAGACCTCGAACCATTGCAACTGTCGAACAATTGGTCAAAGAAAGCAACTGCTGCAGCTGTATTTTTTGTTGTTTCACTGATTTGTGTTCCGTCATGTCGCTGAGCTGGAACAAAAAACATGAAATTAGAATTACTTTTACATGATGTATTTACTTACATGTAACAGGCATTCTTTACTCATGTTTATTACAAAATATTTTTTTATGAAATTAATAATTTAATATTTAAAATATATATAATAATTTTTAACAGTGGTAGAGCTGTGAGCTGTGAGTGTGGAGCGTCCTTGGTGTCGCTCTAGTGCGCCACGATTTCCTCCAACTCTTCATCATCCTCCGCCTTCTCTTCCTTCCGGTGAGGCCATCTGTCTTCGTCCCCGTCAAGAAATGACGGTTCCGTGAACCACTGGTCGCTTTCTTCTTTGGTTACGAAGTTCATGCGCGTTGCCTGATCTGCTATGTTCTCCGCAGTCGGTATCCACCTCCATTGCTCGGGTGATGTATTTTCAGCTATCTTCCCTAACCGATGAGCCACGTATGGAGTGTAACTCGCCGTATCATTTTGTATCCAGTGGAGTGTCGTAGTAGTCTGTCCAATATACGACCTTATCTGCTACCACTCTGTATTCGCCTTGTACGAATTCAGCGAGTCGCGCGCCTATCAAATTCGCCTAAAACTCTAGTCGCGGTAAACTCTGCGCTTTAATCGGAGCGACTTTCGCCTTAGCCGCCACTAATCGTACCCTAACCGTTCCGTCGCTGTATCGTATTCGCCGATATACTGCGGATGCGTACGCGCGTTCGCTTGCGTTGTTAAATACGCGAAGTTGACGCTCTACCACTCCCCCCGTAGGAGCATAGCATCTTGGCAGTGGCAGTCGTGACACCTCCTCGACGACTCGCAGCCACCTCTGGAACTCATCCGTTGTCTCCTCGAGTAGTTCGTCATCCCATCCGACCTTCTTCATACGCCATAGGTCTTGTAGCAGGATCTTGGCGGTGATGGTGAGGTAGCTAAGCAGTCCGAGCGCGTCAAACACAGACATGACTGCGCTTAATGCTTCCGTCTTGGTCGGTGGTCGCTGTAGCGCCTTTACTTCCTGCGGCACCCTATTCATCGATGTGTTGAAGGTTAGGGTCTTCGTCAGCCATCCATAACAACCCTAGTGGTCTGCCTGGGCTGTCTTGCCTTAAACCTACTTCCTTAGGCTTGCGCGCCAGTAGTTCCTCCGGCTTGTCTTCCAATAGGGCTGCTTGATTAGAATTCCAGCCTGCCAAGTTGAAACCGGCCTTCTGGTGCACTTCCGTAACCTGCCTCGCCGTGTTTACCGCTTTCTCTACCGTTGCATAGCTGTCTAAATAGTCGTCCGGCGAGCTCCTCGCGCCGAAAATCATTGACGTCATAACGTACTCCCGCGGTGGGCTGTGTCGCTCGTTTCCTCGTCAGCGCACTCGTTGCGCAGGTTGGTCGCGTCGGTCGATTTTCACACGCAAGAACATTTCCCTAATATCCGCGGACACGGCTATCTCATTCTCTCTAAACCTAAACAGTATGCCCGCTAAGTTCCGTAATAAGTCGGGGCCGTCGAGTAAATAGTCATTAAGACATCTACCGGATGCGCGCGCTGCCGCGTCGAACACTACTCTCGTCTTCCCCGCTTTTTTCGGATTCCGCACTGCGAAGTGTGGCAGGTACCAGCTCTTGGGGTCCTCTCTCTCCGTCCTCTCGGCTTCCCTTGCGTATCCTTTCGCCAGGAGGTTGTCTATCTGGGCTGTGTAGGCGTCCCGAAACTCCGGCGACTGGTCCATCTTCCTTTCAATCGTCCGTAGTCTTCGAGCTGCCATTTCATAGCTGGGTGGCATCCGCACGTTGTCGTCCTTCCATGACAGTCCAACTTGGTATTACTCGCCGACCTTCTTGACCGTTCGCTGGAATATGTCCACGGCGCGGTCCTCTTCCCGTCGCGGCTTACTCTTTAACGAGATACCTATATAGAGTCTATCTCATACTGCCGTTTGAGGAGTTCCGTTAGCTCCTCGTCCTGACTGGCAAAAGTTCGGATGTCCCTATCTGGCCGTCCGTTAGTGCTTGCTACGTGTAATACGGTCTCGACGTTTTCCCTACACGTCAACCGCGGCACGATTCCCTAAATTACCCACCCTAATAACGTATGTTCAGCAATGGGCTGCCTTTGACGTCCTATTCTCAAATTATGGGTGATTATTAAGTGCCAGTTGTCGGCGCCTAATAATAATCTCGGCTTCTCTTCGTCGTAACATACTGAACTCGGTAAGTCGCGTAAGTGCTTCAACCGTACGCACACCCTACTCACAGACTGCGAGCCTATCTTTAAATCCGCTATTGTTCGCGCGCTTACGTTATAAATCTCACTACGCGTCTTGCCACGTATCCCTATATTTACTAACCTACTATTGGCCTCGCGTTGACTATTATTTACGCCTCTAATATTGAGCGACTTTACCGGTCCTTCCGCTCCTAACTCGCGAGCTAAGTCGTCGTCGATCAACGATATGGTAGAGCCTTCGTCAAGTAGCGCATACGTATCAACTTCCTTACCACGCGGTCCGCGCGTAGTAATGGGGCACACTTTCAATAACACAGACGCACTGCTATTAACTTTCGACGCGACGAGCACGGTTTCATCCGGTTTTACCGACGCTACAGGCGTGCGGGCCTTGCGGGCGTGAAGGAAGGCGTGGTGGGGGGCGTTGCAGCCGTCGTCGCTGCACTTCCTAGTCTTACAAGCTTACAACGTAGGCGTCGGTGTTTGCTGCTTAAACACCTAATGTTTGCTGCGTTCAGAATTCCGAATCGGAATATCAAAACGGAAGTCCGAAACGGAATTTCGTGCCACACACGTGCACATTTGTGCCACAGAACACACGACACATGTCGTATATTCAAACATTTTTATTCTTTAGTTCATGCTTTGTATCATGGTTCAGTATCATAATGTAGGTACCTTCATAAACCTAAAAACATATTACTGATTGAAGTTTTAATTTTGGTTAATTTTCAATTAAACATGTTGCAACATTTTATTGTCTATGAAAGGCAAAGGCATATTTGTTTTAGCTGCTACTGCGTGGTTTTATTCCTCTACTACGATTGGTGGTTTATAAAATGATATCATTTTCAAGCCAATCAGAGAGAACTTTTACACGGATTTTCAATGAAAACATACTTATTGCGCACCTATAAAACGAGAACATTCTACTGAATAATTCCTTCGTCTGAGGAGTATTTTCCATGTGGCAAGAATTTGCAGCTTGTAGTGGTGTTTAAAAAAAAAACTATAGAAAAAATCTTTCTTTCATGAAGTTGCGTCATCCACATGTTAGGAGATAAAACTCGAAATAATTTCTTGAAATATTAATAACGGGTAAAGAATGCTGACCGCTACGCGGGTGGTTGGGCGAAAGGCCTTAGAATGTTCTGGTCTTACTTCGGACTTTTCTACACACAGAAATTTTACTACAATACTGAAAAATGTAAGTATTCATTTGTCTTTAAAAGAAATGAAAATCGATTGTAACATTATAACATACATTTTTCCAGTCAAACATGTTGCTTAGCCAATTTATTTTAATGTTTGCTACATACAAAGCTAACTATTAAATAAATACGGTAGGTATCCCAAGTGCTACCGGTGTCGTAATGTAGACACATGGGTTCGAAAAAAAAATCAGTGTCGCTTAATAATTGAAATCATTATCTTATTTCAGGTTGCAGCGCCTACAGTGCCAATTTATCAACGCCATGCAGTGCAATACAGACACAAGTAAGCAATTTATTCAAATTTACACTACTATTTCATCATAACCTATTTCTCTTGTGTAATGATCTTAGAACGTGTAGTTAATGATAGTAATAACTTAAAATGATAAAAACAAAATCTACTTTAAATTAACTCGCCGATCTGAATTTATTCTCATAACCCACAGTTGCTCAAGTTTTCTTATCTTTGATAATGAGGTTGGAGTTTCGTCAGTGACCAATCACCTCATCTTCATTTATTAATATATAATTATTATCGTTTATACACATGAAAGAAATAATTTTCTATAATTTCATGATTTTACGATGTAATTATTACGATATACTAGCTGATCCCCGCGACTTGTCCGCGTTGCTTGATATATTAACAATGTTTTCAATCTTCTTCGCAGCAAGAAAACATCACTGAACACAATAACTTTATATTAAATGAAGACATAGCAATAAGTTTTTTTTTTTTAGGGAAGGGCCAAATATCTAAGAAATAAAACTTAGACAACCTAATTGAAATCTATAGTAGTTTTTGCATTGCAAACCGTGATATATTCATGTCATCACAATAAATCTGATATCTGATTCTGCGGTCTTAGAGGATGACCCCTATTAATACACCAGATAGACCACTAATTGACCATATATTTTCATTTCTTTTTCATTAATAAAAAGAAGGGCCATCCCAAAGCTGCGAACATTTTGTTCATCCTTCAGGGCTTAGGAAAAACTAGTATAGCCTAGGATAAACAAAGAAGATTGATATGTTTTCATACATTCTTGGGCCCAAATTGTAGAAAGATGAAAGTGGTGTCAATTAATAGCTTATATTAAAACATCACTGAAAATTCAGCGGATTTTGGCAATCTGAGAGCAGAATTATAAGAGATTTAGTAAAAGTTAGGTTATGCACCAAGTTGGTAACCTATACTATACAGCTGATTTTTGAAGGATCGTCGGCTTAGTGTATTACAGCAACTAGTCACTATGCCACAATTCACAGAGAGATCTATTATGTAAATATCCAATCAATAAAATCCAGGCCGTAAAATTCACAATAACAAGTCAAACGAGTAAATGAGCTTATCGGTGTCTGGTATGATAGGAAGGGTCATACAAGTAAGATCAGAAGTCCATAGAAAGAAAGCAGTGGTTGAGGAATATAAATCAATAAAGGGAAACACTCAAAACGCACACATACTAAACAATACAAGATGAGTTTTCATAGATTGAGCTAGGCAGGAGCTGTCACTCTCAGCACAGATTAAAAATACAGTTGACAAACACAAGTAATAATTCGAACTGTAAATGAGAATCGATTTTAAGGTTTATTTTTATTATGTTGATATTTTATTTTTGAAACTGTTGACACTATTTTAATTGTAATGTAATTGTTATTACTTTAATTGAATCAATCATCTGTTGTAAGTTGTTTTTAAATCTAATTGTTAAAACTCGTTTACATTAATCGATTTCTTTACATAAACTTATTTTTAAGATTTCTCTTCTTGCAGATTGTGAATTGGGCAAATTTTTTATATTTCGAAATAGAAAAATATAATGCTTTTTTAAATCATATTTCAACTTATATACTTTATTATACTTTTTTTTAATGCAGATTTGCTCAAAACTAGTTTTAACTGAAATTACAATTAAAAATTTGTATTTTTGAGAGCAAGTCATACCTACTTCTGCTATACCCAATTTTCACTACATTGCATTAAATTACATAGTACATAACTTTTTGGACACATCCTGACTTCTTAATTCTATTAAAAAACTAAATAATTTGCGCCATTGAGCGGTAGCAATACCTGTGTGTTGTATACCTTTGCGGCGGTGCAAGATTAATGATTGAATATAAATTCAGTTTGGAGCATTATTGCTGTAAACTTTATACCAGTCAACATTTTTTACAATTTAAGACAATGATGATGGCCCTTTGGCTGACTTCTATTCAAGGCCATAATTCCCGATTAATGGAAAGCCATTTCATTGTTGTGTCACCATCATCATCATCGTCATCATCATTACAGCCCATCACAAATCCACTGCTGAACATAGCCTTTCCCCAAGGTTTGCCACAAAGCATGGTTTTTTTTTTTAATAGGAGAGGGGGCAAATGAGCATGCGGCTCACCTGATGGTAAGTGACTACCGCCGCCCATGAACAACTGCAATACCAGGGGAATCGCAGATGCGTTGCCGGCCTTTTAAAAAGGAGTACTCTCTTTTCTTGAAGGTCCCTATGTCGTATCGGTCCGGAAAAATCGCTGATGGTAATCGATTCCACAAGGAGGTCGTGCGAGGAAGAAAACATCTTCTAAATCGCACAGTGGTGGACCGCCAATCATCCAGATGGTGTGGATGGTATCGGGAGTTCTGCCGCGATGTGCGTTCGTGAAATTTGGCGGCTGGGATTAATCCGAACAATTCCTCAGAGCACTCCCCATGGTAGATGAGAAAGAAAATGCAAAGGGATGCAACATCTCTTCGCAGTGCCAATGAATCGAGCCGATCGGAAAGGGCTCGGTCGTCGACGATTCGAGCAGCTCTGTGTTGGATGCGGTCAAGTGGAAGGCGCTGGGGAGCCCCTGCCCAGAGATGGGAACAGTATTCCATGTGAGGCCGAACTTGCGCCTTGTAAAGTTGCAGGCGGTGTGCCGGTATGAAATACTGTCCCGCTCTGCTGAGCACGCCAAGCTTTTTAGAGGCCAATTTGGCCTTCCCTTCCAAGTGACCACGAAACTGCACGTCACTCGATATGTCGACTCCGAGGATACCGATACTGGATGAGGCAAGAAGGGGAGTGCCTTGAAACTGAGGAGATACGACAAAAGGGTTCTTTTTAGCGGTAAACGCGCAAACTTGTGTCTTCTGAGGATTAAACTGGACTAGATTTAGTCGCCCCCAATCCAAGACTTTCTTCAGCAAAGACTCGACTTCAGATACAAGTTTGTTTCGGTACTCAGCGACGTTTTCCTGAGAAATATTAGCACGGCCGGTGTATAGAGCATCACCAGTGCTGTCATCCGCATAGCAATGAATGTTACCAGTTAGCAACATATCATTGATATGCAGAAGAAACAGCGTTGGTGATAGCACACAGCCTTGTGGAACACCAGCGTTAATAGGCTTGTAGTCAGAGCATGCACTGTCTACAACGACCTTGATGCTCCGATCTGCAAGGAAGCTGGTGATCCAATTGCACAATTTCTCGGGAAGCCCATAGGAAGGGAGCTTCGAAAGAAGCGCTTTGTGCCAAACCCGATCGAAGGCCTTCGCAATGTCCAGACTAACGGCCAACGCCTCCCCCTTGGACTCTACTGCCTCCGCCCATCTATGGGTCAGGTAGACCAGAAGATCACCAGTTGATCGACCCCGACGAAAACCGTATTGGCGGTCACTAATCAGCTGTTGATCCTCAAGGTACCGGATGAGCTGGCAGTTAATAATGGATTCCATTATTTTGGAGAACAAGGAGGTGATCGCGATAGGCCTATAGTTGGATGGGTCTGGGCGGTCGCCTTTTTAGTCTTCCATGAATTCGGGACTACGCCTTGTGAGTAGGAGTACCGGAAAAGACGCGTTAGGACCGGTGCCAACTCCGGAGCACACGTCCTCAGCACAATTGGGATTCCGTCAGGCCCACTCGACTTCTGGATGTCCAGGGAGAGCAGTGCTTTGCGAACTGAGCGCTATGAGAACAGCACATCCGGCATGGATGGAGCACTCACACCGCGGGATGGTCGGCGGTGTTTTCCCCCCGTCATCAAGAGTCGAGTTGGACGCAAAAAGGGAGCCTAAAAGGTCGGCTTTGTCTTTTGCGTCATTGGCCAGTGAGTCATCCTCCCTGTACAGAGATGGTAGTGATGGCTTACAGAAATTCCCTTGGACAGCCTTGGCGAGAGACCAGAATGCATGGGTTCCCAAAGGAAGGCGAACTAGTTTCTCGCCAATTCTGCCTATGTGCTCTGACTTTGCCTTGGCAATAACTCTTTTGAAGGACCTGGAGGCGAAGTTATACTTCTTTTTAAGTGTTTACATCCCGAGTCGCCGAAGCCGCAGCCCAGGCTTGATAACACTCCTGCTTACTGCGTAATGCAGTCTTACAGGAGCGAAAAAACCAAGGCTGAGATCTGCTTCCGATGGGTACCACAGATGATGGAATAAATAGTTCCATTCCCTGTAACACCACATCAGTGACAGAGTCAGCAACAGCGCTGGGATCGTCCGGCGAGAAGCAAACCCGCCCCCATGGTTAGGATGCAAATAAAGACCGCATTCCGTCCCAATCCGCCGACCTGTAATGCCAAACACGGCGGCAACCTGCAGAACGCAACCGCGAAGGGAGCGTGAGTGGCACCACACTCCGGATCAGACAATGGTCCGAAGAGCCGAGAGGGGCATCGACGGAAACCTGATATCCGTCCGGATGAGAGGTCAGCAGAAGGTCCAACAGGGAAGGTGTATGATCCTCTACATCTGGAATCCGCGTAGGCGAAGTAACCAGTTGTGTCAGACCATATGCCAAGGAAAAGTCATAAACAGATCTCCACGCATGATCGGTTAGACGTGAACCGAGCCATTCGGCATGGTGGGCGTTAAAATCGCCAAGGATCACGATCTCTGCGGATGGGACCTGTTGTAGCAAGGAATCTGTAGCCATTTGGACGTGGTCGATGAGTCGGTCTGTTTCGGCATTACCGCTATGGGACCTATAGCGGCACCCGTAGACGCGCGGATGGTCATCGCTGTCTACGCGTAGCCAAAGGATGGACAGGTCCGAAACTTCAAGACTGCCGAGGCGTCGAGAACAGATGTCCTCTCTGACATACACGCAAACTCCAGCCCGAGGCACAAAGGAGTGCTCCAATTTGTACCCCGGGCAGGAGAGATACGAAATATCAGCCGGAGAGGAAACCTGCGTCTCGGTCAGAAAGAGCAAGGCCGGCTTCGCCGTCTCGAGATGGTAGTGGACGGCGTTTAGGTTAGAGTGAAGTCCCCTGATGTTGCAGAAATTCACGGATAGCGTGGCAGGGGTCGCCTTGGTGTTCTTGCTCACTTTGCCCCTAGCAGTTATGCTTTTGAGCGGAATTTTGCCCCCCCCCCCCCTAGAATACGCGGGGCAGCCTGAGCACCCACGCTCAGGATCGGAATAACATGGTCGTGGATGCTCAGCGAGGGATTCTCCAGGGGTACTGGTACCCTCCTGGGGTAGTTCATCGTGTAATTCCGCTACCATGTTGATGGGGGGGGGGGGGGGGAATTGGGCCTCCGGCCACCTGCACTCACCAAACGAAACGCAGAAGCAGAGCTTCTACTTCACGCCGGTATTCTGTGAGGTTGTGGTACCAACCCGGCTCGAGCCGGCCCATACACGCAACAGCAAAAACTGCTGCGTGGCTCTACCACCATTAATCCTGAGCCAACTGCATCCATCGACTTCCTGCATGTCTTACCAGGTCTTCACTCTATCTAGCTGAGGGCAGCCCTGCACTTTGCCTACCGGTATGCTGCCACTCAAGAACCTTTTTTCCATTGGTTGTTATTTTTTGGAGGTATATGGCTGGCCCATTGCCATTTGTGTCATGTGTGCTGTCCAGTCCTAATAGTAGACTAGATTCCACTTAACATCACATTAGACATGTGTCAATCGTAAATTATTCATTAATTTGACCCAGGTAGTATTAAAAGTATTGATGACGATTGACAGGACCTATGACCAAAGATTATAATAGTAATGTTATTATAGAGCGGGTCTCACATATCACAGAGTGCTGATACTTGAAATGATCTATTTTAATCATCGACCGGAATGACCCGGCTCGTAAAATGAATCGATACTTGGAGGCTCGGATCACTAGACATGAATGAATGACACATGTCTACATCACATTTTACCCATCTGCTGAAAAGATGAAAAACACTGTTTTACTGATGGTAGGTGTCTTCTTCTGTCTAGAGGAGTACATGTGGGAACCACCACACTCATCATACCTATTTCTGACGTTCAATAGCAGTGCTTGTACTGTTGTGTTCTTGTCCAAAGGGTACAGAGAGCCAATAATAACATCCTGTGAGGCAATTTGTCTAAAACCTCAGAGGTTATGTGGTAGAGCCAAACTGCAACTTTACAATGGTTGTAGCACGAACGGATCAGTTCGACTGGGATATGACCACACTCACAGAACACCAGCATAAAGTAGCAGCTTAATGTTACTGTGTTTTTGTATTTGTGTGTGTTCTTGTTGAGTGCCTGCCTCATACTTGTAAGTTCTAAAGATTTAACAACTCAATATTGCATTGGGTAATTGATTAGTGGTACATGCATTTGATAATTCCCGGTTCTTAGATTTTTTTTATTTGGTTTTAAGTGGTTGCTGTGGCCCATAGACAACTACATTTATCCTCAATAAAGAATCAAAATGCAGATGCGTCATCACCCGTGAGGACTAAGATAGAATGCCCCTTTTTCAGTAAAATGGGTCTCCGGTTCTCTACACTCACCATACGAAACACAGCAGTGTCAAGCTCCTATATTACGCTGGTATTCTGTGAGAGTGTGGTCATTCCCCGGTCGAGCTGACCCATTCGTGCTACAACTATACTACTAATATAGCTGGAGCATGGCTCTACCGCGTTTAATAAGATCCCAGATTCCTGGGATATCCTGGTTCTTTTCATACCTGAACAGAACCGGTTCTGCAGATCAGCATCCCAGTTTTCCAGGTTGTTCATATAAATTAATCTATACAAATATCTGTTTGTAACTTCAAAATAACAGCTTTTCACTAAATGCATATGAAAAGTATATATGGTACTTATAACAAAAACACAATTTTTAAAATTTCTGTCTGTCTGTCTGTTTGTTCCCACTAATCTCTTAACTGTTGGACCGATTTTGATGGGAATTTCACTGGCAGACAGCTGATGTTATAAGGAATAACTTAGGCTACTTTTATTTAAGAAAAAAAAATTGGGTTCCGTGCAGAAAAATTAAATACCTAAATCACACGTGGGCGAAGTCGCGGGGAACAGCTAGTTGTATCATAATTTCGTATAGTTGCTGCTTAAATTAATTAATTCTCTAAGTTTAATTAAAGCTTTGCTGAGTTTTAATTATAATATTCATGATTATTTTTCAAGTGAAAAGGTTTTCATATCATATTTTAAATTAAAAATAATTTTTTTTAACCAATGATTAGAGCAATACCTATTGTAATTGTCATTCCAGTTTCTAGTCTGATTTTGTAAGTATTTAATGCAGAAAGTATTAAAAGCATTGATCTCTTAACAGTGGCATAGCATGCCATAGATGGGCCGTGTATCAAAATTTGATGGGGGGCCCCAATGAAGAGTAAAGATTTCATAAAAGGAACAAAAAACGCTTGCATTGAATTAAAATTGTTATTTATTGATTATAAGTTATTACTCACAATTAATACTCTTAGGAACTAAGCTAGCCAAACAATTCAAATCAATAATACAGTTTTCGTGCCTTTTGTGCAGCGAACATAGCTGAAGCATTGTACACACATTGTATAATAATAATTATTGAATTTTAAGTTAGTGTCTTCTGGAAAGGAAGCGCAATGCCAGCAATAGGTGTCCGCGGAAGACCAGCGTCTTGACATGCTCCTTGCGAGCATGTCATGACAATGCTGAGTGGAAGCCTGTTTTGGCACAGTATAATTAACTGTTAACCATTTGTACATGTGCATCACTGCTGTGTCAATAAAGGTTATTTTTTCCTTCTTCTTTCTTTCTTTCTTTCTGAAGCCGATTCGGCGGCATTCATAGCTGAAAACGATTTCAGTTTTACTAAATTCTTTGCTTCTATAGACAATAGTGATAGCCTTTCCAGTCCCATAGAAGTCCTTGGGATTTTTGCTTACACGCGTTCAGGGCCCTGTAGCCCGGGGGCCCCCGTATCATTGATACGGCTGATACAGCGGTAGCTACGCCCCTGTCTCTTTAACAAAAGATTTAATTTGAATTTATTAATAGATGCTTTATTAACTAAGAGTTATTTCCTTTTTTTTTTAATTTAACCACAAGAGTTTAAAGATTATGTAGGCACCACTAAATGATTGGCAAACAGTTGATTAAATTAGGAAAAATAACAACTTTAAAACATACACTAAGAATCGGGAATTTCGCTTCTGAACCTCTTTTAGAACCAGGTATAAAATATGAGGAACCCGGATCCGGTTCAGCAAGCCCTAGCTGTGACTATCATCCGCGCGTTCGAATCCCGTAAAAACAAGCTTTTGTATGACCCTTCAAATAATTACTCCAGGTCTGGATATTTGATCATGTGCAATTTATTTGTAAATTGCCTCCGCAGCACAGGACCAAATATTATCGTGGGGGATTGCAGAATGGTTATTAACTATGATCCAGAAATACCAACAAATACATTTCTGAGTCACCTCAAAGGTTTGGTGCAAGTCTTACTAGATCGACATTTTATCTAGTGGGGAGAAGCCCCCTTGTTGATGATAAATGATAAATTAATTTTATAAATAAAGCTAATTTTATTGTATACAGATCAGATGGAGTCCGTGGTGCTGTCATTGGTATTGATTTGGGTACCACCAACTCTTGCGTCGCCGTCATGGAAGGAAAGACACCTAAGGTAAAAACTAAAATCTTTTTGAAAAATGTTTTTTTTTTATTCATATTGAGTTCACTTTGATTAAATATTATAAAGATGATATCAATACATTAAATAAGGACTCAAAAATTAATTAAAGTAACAAATATAATGTAGGAAATTAATCTGTATTTTTTAAATAATGCGCAAGGAAACCAGCAAGATATTTTAAATGTAATACTTTTTCTCTCGTTGGTCTAGTGGTTGCTACTACTACTCATCGTATTGTCCCGGGTTCAAATTCTGGGTTGGGACCTAAATAAGTTATTGGGTTTATCTGTTAAGAAATTCTCCATAGCAGCCCAAAGTCCAGATGATAATGGTATTTCACCTCCGTGCCTGTGAAAAGCAGATAAAGCCATAGATGCTGCACCTGATCTTTCTCCGGTCAGTCTGCCGTCCGGTCGGATCGGCCGACAGATTGGCTGTCTCCGTTATGACTGACAGACCGTGACAGAAAATCCGTCTGGAAGACATTATTTTTAAACAGTGGATTTTTTTATGTTGCAATGACAGCACTGATAATTGTATCAAATTATTTTAGTATGGTCAATAATCAAAATTCTCATTCAAGCTGCACAGCATATGGGCAAGTAATTATTTACTGCGTCAACCGATTTCGATGATTATATTCCTTTTAGTCTGAAAAGGAGCAGTGAGTTCCAGAAGGATCACATGGATTATTCGAACAGTCTAATACCCAAATAATCAAACGCGCTACTCAACTTAACATGCCGTCAAGTCTCGTGCTATCTCTATCTATCTCTATTTTTTACGTGGTAGAGCCATGCTGCAGCTATATTAATAGTATAGTTGTACCAGGAATGGGTCGGCTCGACCGGGGAAGGACCACGCTCTGTGTTTCGTATGGTGAGTGTAGAGAACCGGAGACCATTTTCACTGGAAAAGAGGCATTCCATCTTAGTCCTCACGGGTGACAACGTATCTGTATTTTGATTCGCAAACGTGGATAAATGTAGATGTCTATGGGCCACAGCAACCACTTCAGGTGGACTGTGTGCTCGTAAAAATCCTAACCTATAAAAAATCACTTTAAGTCAAAGTTACAGTGACACCAAGAGACTTAACGACGTCTTAAAATTAAGTAGAATTTGAGTATTCGGCAATAAGTTAAAAAATCTTATCTATGCTAGTGCATTCACATATTGCACTATTACTGTAGTGTTTCCTGTGTAAATATCTTTTGTCAAAAACATTGACGTTATTATCATTATCACTACATCTCTTCATAAGTCCACTGATGAACTAAGGCTTTATTTAGAACAGGGTTTCTCAACCTTTTTTGACCAGAAACCACGTTGAAATAGTTTTTGTTAGCAGGGACGACAAGGTGAAAGAAAAGCTATGTTTTTTTTTATAGGAGAGGGGGCAAACGAGCATGCGGCTCACCTGATGGTAAGTGACTACCGCCGCCCATGAACAACTGCAACACCAGGGGAATCGCAGATGCGTTGCCGGCCTTTTAAAAAGGAGTACGCTCTTTTCTTGAAGGTCCCTAAGTCGTATCGGTCCGGAAAAATCGCTGATGGTAATCGATTCCACAAGGAGGTCGTGCGAGGAAGAAAACATCTTCTAAATCGCACAGTGGTGGACCGCCAATCATCCAGATGGTGTGGATGGTATCGGGAGTTCTGCCGCGATGTGCGTTCGTGAAACTTGGCGGCTGGGATTAATCCGATTGTTTATTGTTAATTTATTGTTAATCAAACAATAAATTTTAATCACAACGTTTAACATAATTATAAAAGTATGTGTATTTATTGTAAAAGAAATCGTACATGCTTGGTAAAAAATTGCAATTTTGATCGCGACGCGACGCGCATTGTTGCTCAGCCCGCGTGTCGAGAAAACATAAAATGTGTTGTTTAAAAGGATTATGTAGGTAAATTATAGGTAAAATAAATCTTTCGCGGACCACAATTAATCTCTTGCGTACCACTCACTGGTTGGGAATAACAGCTCTAGTAAATGAAATCCATCGACTTTCCATTAACTTTTCCTGCATGCCCTTCTAGAGGACAGTGATTAAATTAGGCATATATTCTAAGAATATGGTAAGAAGCCGATAACCATCACCGTTACCTAATATGTTTATTTGTAAACGTCGGATCGTGAAGGTCCAAGATTTGATCCAATTTACGCACCGTCGATCAGCGTACGCGTCCGTATGCGTTTGCTTTTGCAGCGGTGCGAGATCAACGCGTGGCACCAGCTAGCCCCGGTTCATACCGTTGGCTTTCCTAGAAACCACGCTACAGATTTTTTTAATTAAACTTCTAAGCTAATAATTTAAAATTAAAAATTTTATACAACCGACTTCAATACAAGTCTGCACTAAAAGTATCGGGAATAGAATATTTCCACTGTTCCTGTCATATTAAATTATTTTTAATTGAAAAGTCCTTGGTTTTAAAAATCGAATACCATTTATTTATTTAAAAAAAGCTCGGTCTTGCCACAAGGTTTTATCAAACTTGTTTAGTCGTTGAGAAAATGGAATTGACTCGAGAAAATTCAAGAGCTATGATTTATTATGACTTTCGAAGTGGTTTGACACAAAAACAGTGTGTTGACCAGATGATTTCTGCATTTGGTGATGAAGCCCCCATCCAAAACCACAATTTATCGCTGCTTTGCTGAATTTCAAAGTGGACGTGTCAAGCTCAGTGATGATCCCTGTCAAGGTCGTCCAAAAACTGCAGTCACCCAAGAAAACGTTGAAGCTGTGCATAAGCTGATTGAGGAAGATCGACTTGTGACATACCCCGAAATTCAGGCAACTTTAGACATTGGCATGAGTCAAATACAAATAATCTTGCATGAACAATGAGATGTAAAAAAGTTGTTTTCCCGGTGGATACCGCATTCGCTCTGTGAAGAGCAAAAAGCGGTTCGCGTTACTTGGTGCGTCAAACTCTCGAAAGATTCCACGCAGGATCCTCAAATGCTGTATACAACATCGTATCAGGTGACGAATCCTGGATATACGCGTACGAACCCGAAACAGAAAACCAGTCACGAGTTTGGGTGTTCGAAAATGAGTTAAAGCCAACAAAAATCGTTCGTTCACGGAGTGTTGCAAAAAAAATGGTGGCCACGTTTGTCTCCAAAACGGGCCATGTTACGACTATTCCTCTTAAGGTTGTCCCTCAACGGTTAATGCAGAATGGTATGCTAGCATTTGTTTGCCATAGGTCGTTTCTGAACTCCGTAAAGAGAACTGCAACCGCCGCATCATCCTCCATCACGACAATGCGAGTTCTCACACCGCACACAGAACAAAACAGTTTTTAGAGCAAGAAAACATAGAATTATTAGACCATCCGCCGTATAGCCCCGACCTAACCCCTATTGATTTCTATACTTTCCCTAAAATAAAGAATAAATTGCGTGGACAGAGATTTTCATCACATGAAAAAGCTGTGGACGCCTACAAAACGGCCATTTTGGAGACCCCAATCAAAGTTCGTGGAGAATACTTCGAAAAGCAATAAATACATTTTTAAATAGTAATGTTGTGTCACTTCCTTGATTCCCGAAATTTTCAGTGCCTCCCTCGTCGACTTTGATCAAATTTATATGGGACCACATGTGAAGTACCAGCTTTCAAATAAAAAAAGAATCATCGAAATCGGCTCTGTAAAAAAAAACCCAGTAAAAAGTTATGAGGTTATGAGGAAAAATAACATACAGGCAATTGAGTACCGGCGCCTTTTTGAAGGCGGTAGAAAAGCTGTGTAGTGGCGGTGTAAGAATACCCACTACTCCATATCGTCCTGTGCGGTGTCATAAGAGATTACAGAGGGAAAAAACAGATGAGTAGCAACATATTGACCACATCTCTTTTTTTGTAGTATAAGGCTGACAAACAAGCACACAGTCCAACTGATGTTTGTTGTCGTGGCCCATAGACATTACATCTATTCTCGATTACGAATCAAAATGCAGATGCGTTGTCACTCGGTAAGATGGAATGCCTCGTTTCCAGTAAATAAGGTATCTGGTTCTCCACATTCACCATACGAAACAGCAGCGTATTGCGGACAAAGGGAGCTAGGGTATGTTAAAATTCTTACCTAAGATAAGAAAAATAAAAAGCAGTGAAAATATTTTTAAAACAATAAATAAACGAGTTTTCCGAGAATCCTGGCTACTACGAAACCTGTGGACAATAAATGGTTCTTAAATTTCTAATTTTATTAGTCTTATATTTAAACTTTAATATTTAATAAAGGTTTTGAATAAATTCTTACGTCTTATCATTTGAGGGAGGTGGGGAGTTTGCAATTTTCTTATTTTTGCTTATACAGGGGGGTGGGGGTCTAAAATCATAGAAATACTTGAACGAACTTGAATTCAAAAATTACATGAAGTACATAGTATGTTAATCTAACTTGTTTTGTATTCCAAACTTCAATGGAACTTAACAAAAACTTTATTTTATACTCCTATAAACATTATTTCATAACTTTCTTATTCTTGTTTGTATTTTTATACTAAAGGGTTTTTCAACAAGAACTTTGTTTTCTAAAACAAAATAAAACAAAGAATTTAGATGAAGATGATTCAAATTTTGATTGTATTACGAAGAGAAAAGTTTGGCAATTATGAATGAAAAATGATATCTGGCAAATGTCCACCACGACCACGCTGACAGATGTCGATTCTTTCATCAAAGTTTTTAATCACTTTGGCAAAATGGCGGGTCTATTTCGTTAATCACGTCACGGATTTTGAGTTTTAAGGCCGCGATCGATTCGATTGGCTCTGTATAGACTCTGTCCTTAACATAGCCCCACAAAAAATAATCCAGTGGTGTTAAATCACACGATCGGGCTGGCCATTTAACAGCTGAATTTCGTGAAATTATGCGATCGGGAAATTTGGTTTGCAATAAATTGATCGTTTCGTTGGCTGTGCGTGTCCTGTTCAAACCACATGTTTGTGATATCGATGTCATCAATAATAGGCCAAAATTGAGATGTTAACATGTCGCGATAGCGTGATCCATTGACCGTTACCGCATTTCCAGCCTCATCTTCGAAAAAAACGGCCCAATCACGCCTCCAGACCACATAGCGCACCATACAGTGACACGTTGAGCATGCAAAGGCTTCTCAATAATCGCTTTAGGATTTTCAGAAGCCCAAATGCGGCAATTTTGTTGACGTACCCTGACAAGTGAAAATGGGCTTCGTCTGAAAAAATGATTTTTTCAGAAAAACCGGCGGGCTGTTCCTGAATGAATTGAGCGAATCTACGGCGATGTGAATGGTCGGTCAGCTTCAATTCCTGCACCAGTTGAACCTTGTAAGGCTTCAAAGCCAAATCCTTACGCAAAATTCGCCATGTGGTGGTTTTGGATAACCCCAATTGTTGAGAACGTCGAGGAATTGACAAATTTGGATCTTCTTCAACACTGTGGCTCACGGCTGCGATGTTTTCGGTTGAACGACCCGGTCGAACACGCGTTGGTGTTGGCGCATTTTGTACCGAGCCTGTCGATTCAAATTTAGCGACCAAATTCTTAATAGCGTTCTTAGAAGGACGATTATGTTGTCCGAAAATATCACGAATTTTACGAAACGTAACTTTAACAGAACCAGCATTTTCATAGTGGATTTTAATTATTTTAATGCGATTTTCGAGCGAAATTGAATTCATTGTAGCAATTGCCAAAGCATCTACTACGAATAGGTCAAAAAACTAAATGTCAAAACTGTCATGTTTTTGGTGTTGCCCCAATTGAAAAACAAAGTTCTTGTTGAAAAACCCGTTATGTATAAAACATATGATTGAACAAAGAATATAAAAGTATATTTCGTTTGAGTGGGACATCTATTTTAGTGTATCAAATTTATTTCTATAATTATTTATGATATATGGCATTTTTATTAGGTGGTGGAAAACAGCGAAGGTTCTCGGACCACACCCTCTCACGTGGCTTTCTCTAAAGACGGTGAAAGGCTCGTGGGTATGCCAGCCAAACGCCAGGCTATCACTAACAGTGGCAACACCTTCTACGCAACGAAAAGACTGATCGGACGCCGCTTTGAAGACCCCGAAGTCCAGAAAGACATGAAGAATCTCTCATATAAAGTTATCAAGGCTTCAAACGGAGATGCTTGGGTTCAAGGTTAGTATATTTACATAAAATAATTACATGCAGGGTAAAAAAATTCATGTGTGAGTGTCGTGGAACACTCGGTTGGAACGAAGTTCCTTTCGTAGTATATTATTATTGATAAATGTATTATATCATTGATTAAAAAATACAAATAAATTAATAACTAGCGCAAATTAAAATAAAGCGTCATCACAAATAATATTTCATTCATGGCAAGATAAGAAAAAGTGCGAGGGTGATGGTGCGACGGAAAAATCGTACATCCGTCAAATTCGTACCGTGCGAAAAAATTACTTCAAGCATCCTTTCTGATTTCCACGTGTTATGGAGATTTTAGTCCGCCGCGCTATTATAGCACTTGTTGGCAGGTTATATATCCTCAAAATATTTTAAACCTCGGACACGCAGCTAGGTCCTGGGAAAACCAGCAAGAAACCTAGCGGAACGTTTCTAACATAAATTTACATTATAATGTAATTTATATTTAAGTTAAGCAACAGTTAATCTGTAGTGGCAGTGTAAGAATATCCACTACCCTGTGTCATTTCAATGGTATCGTAAAAGGCGACAGAAGGAAACAAATCAGGAGATAAGCACAGGTGCAGAGTAGCCAGTCTCTTGGTATTCTATAGGATGCATTTCGGTGAGTGTGTGCAGGAATTACACGCTTTAATTCCTCCCTCTCCTTTCCACCATCGGACAACCGGACGGTTGGTGGGTCCTCACTCATTTGTTGTCGATATTCCACGCATTAGAACCAAACGGTTTGCTTCGTCTTTTGTAATGCGTACAGCAAAGGAGTGGAATAATTTGCCGGCGTCTATCTTTCCGTCAGAATACAATCTGGGCGTCTTCAAGGCAAGAGTGAATAGGCTTTTGTTACGCTAAGACAGTGCGATTTACCATCTAAGCCTGCATCGCCACTCCACCAGGTGGGATTGTGGTCAAGCACTAGCTTTTGTGATAAGTAAAATAGAATACAATGTGCTTGCCAAGCCTGTCAACTATGGCAAATATCCCTCCTATGAGGCGATCTGTGTGGGCCGGTAACGGTATGTAACTGCCTTTATATGTCTTAACTGCTATTCTTTATACATGCAGGTTTCCTCACAATGTTTTCCCGTCGCCGCGGAGAACGCAACACTTCACCACTGTATACTATTAAATTAGTTAATTAGGCCTAATAATAATATTGAGCCATTATTATATTTTTACATACTAAAGCACTGTCGATCAGCGTACGCGTCCCATGTGCGTTTGCTTTTGCAGCGGTGCAAGAAAAATGCGCGACACCAGCTAGCCTCGGTTCATACCGTTCGCTTTCCTAGAAATCGCGCTACATTCGTCTATATCACCTTTACTTTTTTTTCTTATCCGAAGTCAAAAATGATATTGTGTTGCTAAGTTAAGCTAGTATTTGAAACTTTACCTATTTTCTTGGTTTTTTTTTAAACGTTACCTCCACACTAAGATTATTTCCTGTATCGTGAGAGCAATTTACATATATAAATTTCACAATGACAAACATACAGACCTGGAATAATTATTTATAGAACATATAAATACTTTTTCCGTGCGGCATTTAAACCCGCGGCTTTTTAGCGCTGCAACTTATTGCTAAGGCACTGCGCCACGGAGCTGTCAATATCTTCTGTGACACTTTGTAACATCTTTAGGTTGACAATGAATAGCTGTTGCTGAGGTATATACAGTTAGAATAAAAACTAGAGCATCATTAAGTTTATATAAATCGCATTAGTACAGCTCGGTGGTTTACCACCTGCCCGCTGTGGGATATATTTAGGTACTGTTACTTACCAGTTTTTAACTTACAGGCAGTGACGGTAAGGTCTACTCTCCAAGTCAGATTGGTGCCTTCATCCTCATGAAGATGAAGGAGACTGCGGAGGCTTACCTCAACACTTCAGTGAAGAATGCCGTTATTACTGTGCCCGCTTACTTCAATGATTCACAGCGACAGGCCACTAAGGATGCGGGTGAGTTGTTTTGTATGAAACTAGCTTGCTTGGTAGATGTTGTTCAGCCCTTTCCGATAGGTGGCGCCATGAGTTAATTTATTAATAAATCGACAACAGCGGCACCTATTGTGTCCAGATTTTGTGATTTTCTATTTAGCACTAAACCTGCATATATTGTGAATATAAGCATACATATATTTTCTGCCGACTTCCAAGAAGGAGACGGTACTCAATTCGATTGTATGTTTTTTTTATGTGTGTTACCTCATAACTTTTTACTGGGTGAACCGAATTGGATGATTCTTTTTTTGTTTGAAAGTTGGTACGTCTCGTGTGGTCCCATATGAATTTGATCATAGTCAGACCAATAGTTTTTGAGTTATTCTTAATAACTCATATTTAAGTCGGCTGTACAAAATTTTAAATTATATTTTATAAATATAGAATTTCTTATTAACTTAGCTACAACGTCTCTATTGGATCCCAGCAAATAACTATGAACTATCGTCTCTACAAAATAAATATATTGTGTGTATAAGACTCCCAATTGTTGAGAACTTTTACAACTTACATCCGCAAAAGACACACCAACATTTAATAAATAATAAAGACACCTACGTAATCTGTGTAAAGTAACTTCAACTAATTCAAAACTAAAACCAATTGTCAATTTCACTTGCCTATTGTAACAGTTAAGGCGAAAAGTTGAAAAATATGGCGATTGGTCGATGGAAATCGCAGAAATAAAAAATTATGGCAGGCGTAGCAGCTAAGTGGAGCCCATATAACAAAAAACTAATATTATAATTCCTCTTGTATACCACTGCTCACTATAGGCCTCTCCCAAGACGCCTCATAACCCAGTCTTCTCACCCATCCAGTCTCTTTATGTAGTATCTCACAATGCTTTGCATGTTTTGCACTTTTTGTTAAGTGTGTGCTCTTTTAATGTTTTGAATGTTATTTTTTTTTTTCATTTCATTATAGAGCACTATAGATCAGCCGTCCCGCTCATGCGCGACGAGTTTCTCCCACGGTGCGAAAGAGACGCCCGATTTTGGATGGTCCGGTTTGAAATCGCGCACTGTCCTTCATATCGAGCTACACTTTCTTTATTTTGCACCTATTATTTGTTTATAGTTTGTGGCACTTAATTTTTTTTTATAAAAGATTTTAATTAACATTTTCTAATAGAAATGGAATATTGTTTTAACCCAATTTACGTACGCAGCAAAAGACAAAAACATATTAAAATCTTTTGCTTACCCCAAAATCATACTAACAGGGTCTCCGGTTCTCTACACTCACCATACGAAACACAGCATCATTAAGTGTGACGTGAGTGCGTGGACCTACCCCGGTTGAGCCGACCCACTTGTGCTACAAACATAATAAAACTGCAGCAGCTCTACCACACATAAAAACGACTATCGACTAGACTAAACTAAGACTCATGAGTATTGATGACGATTTTTTAGAAAAACTTTACACTAATATTTCTCCTATATAGTGGAGGCGTTTCACAATACACATACATTTCAAATGCACAAACATCCAGAACCAGAAAAATAGATTGTGGGCCGTTGTATTGTTCTTAACATTATAAAACTAAATAAATGACTGTCATTATAGTAGTAGTAGTAGTAGCTTTAGTTTATCTATACAAATAAATAAAATTAAAGTGTTTGATTGTAATGTCAAAATAACAGCTTTTTACTAAATGCATATGATAGTATATACGGCTGTTATAACAAAAAAGACATTTTTAAAATTTTTGTCTGTCTGTTTGTTCCGGCTAATATCCGAAAAGGCTGGACCGATTTCGATGGGACTTTCACTGGCAAATAGTTGATGTTATAAGGAGTAACTTAGGCTACTTATATTTTAGAAAAAGAATTAGGGTTCCGCGCATACATAACATACATACATAATAACATAATTAAAACCCTAAATTACACGCGGGCGAAGGCGCGGGGTACAGCTAGTTAGTATATAAAAAGGTTGCCTCCGAACTCGGATTTTCTCCTGTATCATGGGTGCAGTTGACAAACATTAATTTCACAAGGACAACCGTCCAGACCTAGAACAATTATTTGTAGCTCATTTAAATACTTGTTCTGTGTGGGATTCGAATCCGCGGCCCTTAGTGCTGCAACTCATTTCTAAGCCACTGCGCCATGGAGCCATCAAAACTGACAACAACTATGGAATACGATTATCAAGAGTCCACTGCTGAACATAGGCCTCCCCCACATAGATTGTCTCATGAGTAGATATTTGCCATGGATTCCTCGCTTGGCAGGCGGCTTGGCAGCCGCAGTTTCTTATTATCATTATTAATCCTCTTTTATCTTCTTATTATAATAATAAATATTGTGAATAAACTTAGGGCATTCACTTATTATATACTCATAACTGACAAAAGATATTATAATTTTTTTTTACGTCCATTAATGTTGCATTAGTAAATATTTTATTCTGTAGATTATAAAAAGTTCATATTAAAAGTAACTTTACGAAAGAACCAGCAAGAAATGAAGCGGTACTTTTTTTCAATCCTATATATATTGTAGGCAAAGGCCGAAGAGCAGCAAGCTTTGGATCATGTTTAGCCAAAATACATTCCATTACCCATCCATTACAGCCTATAAAAAGTCCACTGCTGAACATTCCCCCTTAGATTGCCTCATAGAGGGGGTTTTGCCATAGATGCCATACTTGGCAGCTGATTTAGTAACTGCAATTTTTATAATTTTGAGTTGTTTTCAGCTGCTGCCCATCTCCTGACTTGTTTCCCTTTGTCGCCTCTTACGACACGTATGGCACACCGCCACTACACGGTAAAAAAATGGGTAGTGATGGAAAATTGTGAAAGGAGTGATAGGATATAATCCCGTCGCCTACACGATCACAAACCCCATTAGTCCATTTGTACGGCATGTTGGTCAAGTAACAATATATTGGCATATTTTTTGTGGTTATAGGTCTCACATAAACAAGGAAACACAACATAGAGAATGAAAGTCCCAGACCAACATGTGTCAATTTTTTTTTTTTCAATTTTTTTATTTATTTATTTATTAGGAAACCAACATGATATTGTACAAAAAAAAAGTTTGCCACAAATGTTTAAACTAATGTTCAGTTACGCACATTAACGTTAAAAAACGAAATAATTATAACACAAGAACATGAGGTGATCTTAATTTTATTACAAATTTTTTATTTTATTTTATTTAAAAAAATGGTAAAAGAATCGTTAAATATGTCAATATCAGTTAATTTAGATATTACATTATAAGTTTTAGAGTTCTAATATATTTTATTTCCTTTGTACAGGTCAAATTGCTGGGCTCAACGTTCTGCGTGTGATCAACGAACCAACGGCCGCCGCTCTCGCTTACGGACTGGACAAATCCGATGACAAAATGTGAGTCTATCAGCTTGCCAAATGGTGGCAGTCTAAGATAATCCATCTCCCTATTTCGTCCCACAGGTTTCGTAAGTGGCAAATATGAGAGGAAGAACTGTGGTAGCTCAGTGGCTAAGTGCTCACTGTAAATTTCATAATACACGTGCAACCTGGGTTCGATTCCCCGCCGCAACCATTGAAATTGTTAATTGAAATTTTAAGTGCTTATTTGCCACGTGCTCGACGGTGACGGAAAACATCGTGAAGAAACCAAAATGTCTGAGAAATAAGAAAAAATAAAATATTTCAAAGACATGTGAAGTTCGCCAACACGCATAGGGGCAGTGGAACTGACATTACCTTGCCCTAAAACCCTCTCAGAAGTGAGAGGAGGCCTGTGGCCAGCAGTGGGACGTATATAGGCTGAAACTTTAACTTTTAAGCTTTTAAATATGGATAATGCTAAAAAAACACAATGACTTGAGACAGATAGTTGTATATCCATCAATATACCATTTTAAACATGGTAGAGCCATGCTGTAGCTATATTATGGTTGTTGCACAAATGGGTCTGCTCGACTGGAGTAGGACTAAGCTCTCACAGTATACCAGCGTAAAATGGCAGCACAGTTCTGGTGTTTTTCTTATGGTGAGTGTAGAGAACCGGAGATCATTAGTCATCATGGGTTACAATGCATCTGCATATTGATTGTTAATTGGTTATAAGTGTAGATGTCTATTGGACACAGCATCCACTTACCATCAGTTGGACTGTGTGCTTGTTTGTCACCTTCTAGAGGCAGAAAAGAAATCCTGCTATCGGGTAAAAATAATTTTTACCATTTCTTTCTATTCACCTTAATCATAATGGATTTTCGCAAAGTAACATCTGCCTCAATTTATTTCCCCCAGTATCGCAGTATACGATCTGGGAGGCGGCACATTCGATATCTCCGTCCTCGAGATACAGAAGGGTGTGTTTGAGGTGAAATCCACCAATGGAGACACATTGCTTGGTGGAGAAGACTTCGATAATGTCATTGTCAACTTCCTCGTGGACGAGTTTAAACGTGATGTGAGTATGAAAATTGAATTATTATTTAAATGATAACTTTAGAATTGTTGCAATTTAAAACACAATGAAACGAAGAAACGACACTAAAAAGAGAAATGTATACCATCTATAGAATTTAGCCTGTGAGAAAATGAGACTTTGTCTATTAATGCAACATTTAAAAATATATCGAAATTGATACGAATTCGATACTCTAAAATAAAATATCGATATTTTTTGCCCATGCCTATATGGTATATATAAAACTCATACCAACAAAACAAACGGAGCACTGTGTACATATTATATTATAAATTAATGTTAGAGGATTGTGAAGCTGTACATTTTCATACAAAAAGCGATAACGTTTTACCCCCGTAAATATGGTCTAATTTTCATAATTTTTGGAAATGTAGATATAACAAAAAACTAGTTCTGTACGTACGTTTTCATTTTAAAGAATTATTGCGTACGATATAAGTTATTAGCATCTAAATATCTATATTTTTAACTTAAAAACTTCCTCGAGCGTTTTTATTTTTTTCATTAAACTAAACTGAATAAATAAAGAAGTAAAATGTACAGGCCTAGATTAGTGTTCTGAATCTAATGAGACCAAAGTTGTCTTATTTTGTAAAGGTTTAGGGGGGTGAAAACGTCATAGCTGGAAACAATATTTCAAAAAGGAAATGTAGGCAATTGCCTCCAAGACTTGCAACTCTCTCTATCGCTCAATACGGGTCTGGGGCCAGGGGCATATCGTAGTTATGTTGGAGGTGTTATCGATATTACTGTCGCCTAGGGAGGAGAAAGTAACATCGCTCGATAACCTACAAAGATAATACCTCTTCTGAAAAAAAAAATAGCTGTGATCATTCAGTGTTTATCAATTATTATTTAGGATTTATTTTAGTCTTTATTGAATAAGGACTCCAAATTAAAAAAAAAAGATTTTGAGTTACACTAAAGTAGGTAGGTAAATAAATAAAAAAGTAACAACTTGAACAAAATATTATTTTGTTTATTAGTACATATTACTTTATTACATTCTTTCTCGAACTGCCATATTTCTAGGAATACAACGGTCAATCAGTTCTGGTAATAAACATTGAAAATAAAAAGAGTATAGTTTTTGGTTTTGACCAGGACAGAGGTTTATACACAGACAGGACAGAATAAAAATTTAGTAAATTTTTTAAATATAGTGACGCCGAAACCATGCTCAACTTCTTGGCACATACTTACACACTTGTCTCTTTCCTATTTTCTATCTTTAACATCCCATAAAGGTACACTGCTGGATGCACACTTATGCACCTACGATGCAAAATATTTTGCATGCACATTTGAATGCGATTGTGTGTTCCTCTAATAAATTGTGCATGGTTTTGGCGTCACTTGAAATGTACACAGCGTTCCGACTTATCTTCCTTTGTTAGTGTAAGATATAATAATAACAATGAAGCTTTTTATTTGTCTCAATTCATACATGATTGTTAAAAATGTACAAAAAAGATCATCACGAACTTAACTTAGAAACATACATAAGTAACATAAAAGTAATGAGACAAATTGGCCTGTGACTTGGCTATGTAGTGATTTGAGTTCACCGCTGGTATTCTTCCATAGCCAACTGTTAAAAGGACACAGTAACTTAACCTAATTTTGACATATAAAAGAGATAAGTATTTAAATACTTTAGCATCGTCGATCAGCGTTCGCGTCCATATGCGTTCGCTTTTGCAACGGTGCAAGAAAAACGCGCGACACCAGCTAGCCTCGGTTCATACCGTTGGCTTTCCTAGAAATCGCGCTACATTCGTCTGTATGTACATTTATATATCTTTTTATACTCAAATATTAAAATGACATTTCGTATTGGTGCAGTGTAGTTGTACCGTTACAGCCTATTAAAGTCCATTGCTGAACATGGCCTCCCCTATAGATTGCTTCATAGGGGGATATTTAGCATAGTTGAAATGCTTGGCAAGCAGGTTGGCAACAACAGTTTTTTTTTTTAATTTTAGTTGTTATTAGGGGACACTGCTACCCATCTCCTGATTTCCCTCTGTTGCCTCTTACGACACCCACGGGATGTGTTGTGTTACTTCATTTGGGCACAATTCTAAGTTAATCCAGTTATCGAAACTAATTGTAAAAGCATATTATATATTGTCTGAAAAATATAGGAAAAGAGATGCAACAAGCATGAATACGATTAAGGGCTTAAAGTTATTAAAACAATTTATCTAAGATTCGCGTGAAAAATATGATGTCGTCACTAATCCCAGTAAAACCTGGCGTCGACTACAGCAGAAATGCGTCGAATCGAAGCGAGTCGCATTTATTCCTAGTGCGTCCATCTCTGACGAATCGAATCGAATTGTTCATTCATCGCAAATTCTTCATAAAAATAGGTCGTATTTGCTTCATGGACAGCTTGGATGAAGAGATGTTTTTATTTCATCGTGATAATGTGGATCTTCATGATTAAAAAATTCTGGATATTGTTGGACCAGTGATATCAATAGTTCTTCATTCATTTTTATTTAAACAAAAAGATTATTACGAAAACGAAATAGAAATTAATTAAAATACACTGGCGCGCATCCTCTTCTCCGCGTCGACTGAGGCGCGCCGAGTTGAATCGAATCGCATCGGCGAAGAAATTCGTCTGTCAAGCAATTCGCGCGGTCGATTCAATTCGGCGCGCCGCGGGTCGCTAATGAACGCAGTTTCACAGTAAATATATAGGAGGCGACTTTCTGCGATTCGATTCGACTCGGCTCGGCGAGCCTAGTGGACGCTTAGCCTAACACAACACTTTGAAACATGCATCACCGTTGATAATAAGATACGTGTTTCGCCTCTAAACGAGACATCATTTGGATTAAAAGGACTCTGTAATGGCTTACTACTAGCCATTCTTAACATGTATTTGTCCCAAGTGACTCCTGATTATATTAATTAAATAAAATGGCGATTCTTATGTGACAAGTGAATAGTCTGTTATCGTCTATTATACAGGATATCGGCATAAAATAACAGCATACGGCTGTTGTGTATTGTATGGTGTATGACGAAAACGAGGCCATTTATAATACATTGTTTGTAGAGCCGCACTGCAGCTATATTATAGTTGTAGCACGAATGGCTATTCGACTATGGAAGGACCTCGCTCTCACAGTAATACACTTGCGTAAAATATGTGCTAATGGCTTAATGCTGTTGTATTTAGGCATTCCATAATAGTCCTCAGAGGCGACAACGTAAAATATGAACCTTATTTTTAAACAGTTTTGTCGATATCTAAAATTTTCACCCAACATAAAATCAAAACAAGTTAGGATAGTAACATTGAAACCTATGGTTTTTCGTTATCCGGTATTTAGACAGACGAAGTATCACGTACATCTAGTATATATTTGTTTTTCTTACAGCAAGGCATCGATATCCGCAAAGATGCAATGGCAATGCAGAGGCTCAAGGAGGCGGCAGAGAAGGCGAAGATCGAGCTCTCTGGTTCCCTTCAAACTGACATCAATCTACCCTACCTGACTATGGATGCTTCTGGACCTAAGCACATGAACCTTAAGGTATGTTATATAATTATAAGAATTGATTCCATCCAAGTTTCATCATTGTACACTTTGACAAAATTCTTTTTATACCATCCACACCATCGGAATTTTTCTGTGAGATAAAATTTACTGAAGATATGCATCCACAGTAGAACAAGAGTAACTAACGTAGCCCAATGGGTAGGTAACCTGAAAGGTGGCAATGAACCGGTCATATAGCTCGAAGAACCGTCAACTGATGAGGAAGAAAGATTCTCGAGTAGCAGCCTAGTACCAGTAAAGAAAGTGAAGTGTGGGACCCCATTAGATGGAGGGGCGGCCTGATGAGAGATACAGGAAATCGTTGTAAGCAGGAGGTTCTCGACCGTACTTTGGGGTCCTAGGCCTATGTTCAGGATGAATGGATCCACAGCATCTGAATACTTGGCGGTCCATCGCTTCGATGAACCTTTCAGAAACGCTGCAGCTGCTGATGAAGGACCTCGCTCTCACAGAATAGCAGCTTAATACTGCTGTGTTTCCTTAATCCGATTGTCTAGACGTGAGCACCTTTCACGCTGCTGCTTGTCGCCGGTCTGGATATTTTACTCATGGCGTAAACATGGTGTTTATAGCGCCATCTATCGGAAACTACAAAATCAATCTGGCATATCTTAGTCACATTAATAATTTCAACAAGACTCTCAAAAGAAAGCTTAAAAGTAAAGAAAAGAGATGAGTCGAATACAAGTAGCGGCACGTAAATCTAGCGCTGATCGAAACGTGGAGGGGACGCGCACGAATTGAATTCCACGAATGCGACTGGGGAGCCAATCAGCGCGTGCGAACGTTACGCGGGAACCTATCAGCGCGACTTATGTCCAATAACGGTCACCGCCAGACTTTCGTGCCGCTTCTTATACATTTTCTTAAACTAGCATGCACTGTAATTCCTTATTTTTCAAGAGATAATATATCTCTTGAATTTGAATTAAGTGCCAGAGAAATACAATACAAAACCACCTGTCTTTAGTCCTTGTGCTGGGATAGGTCAAAGAAGTTTGGTACATTTGCCATTTCAAGGCTAAAGCATACCTGCTTTATTTATAGAATAAGGGTGACAAAGGAGCACACAGTCGACCTCTTGGTAAATGGATGCTGTGACCCAGTAGACATCTACGTTTATCCTGGATTGAGAATCAAAAAGCATATGCCTTGCACCCTTGAGGACTGAGATGGAATGTCTAGTTTCCAATAAATAGGGTCTCTAATTCTCTATACTCACCATACGGAACACAGCAGTATTAACCTGATATTTTACGCTGCTATTCTGTGAGAGAGTGGACCTAGCCCGGTCAAACCGACCTAATCGTTCTACAGCCATAATATAATTGCAGCATGGCTCTACCACGTTAAGAAAGATACTTGGTCTTCTGGAATCAGAGACCCATACTGAATGTGAGTTTCGGATGATAATGTGCAATAAGGACTATGACAATGACATTTTGATCAGCATTGCATGCTAATTTCAAATAGCAGTCCATCACTGAGGGCTAAGTGTTATTGTACTGGCTATCTATATCTTTAAGAATGGAACACAGCAGTGCAATTTTTAATTTTACCACATGTAACAAGTGGTAAAATTAAAAATTTTGTACAACCAATTTTGTAGAGTCAAGATGCAGCTATATCAGTAGTATAGTTGTACCACGAATGGGTCGGCTCGACCGGGGAAGGACCACGCTCTCACAGAATACCAGCGTAAAATAGCAGCTCAACACTGCTGTGTTTCGTATGGTGAGTGTAGAGAACCGGAGACCCTTTTTACTGGAAAAGAGGCATTCCATCTTAGTCCTCACGGCTGACTACGCATCTGCATTTTGATTCGCAAACTATGATAGATGTAGATGTCTATGGGTCGCAGCAACCACTTACCATCAGGTGGACTGTGTGCTCGTTTGTCACCCTTATTCTATAAAAAAAAACAACTTCAATATAAATTATTAAGGATAACGTAAAAGCTATTAGTCATACCTTAATGTAATTTATATGGGACCATATGAGGACACAGTTCACCTAGAAAAAAGTTGTGAGGTAATCACACATAAAAAAAACACTCTAATTGTACCTCCTACTTAATGAAGTCGGTAGAAAATAGGTAAGTTTACGAATATGGGCAGATATAAATAAAAGAGTAAAATAATTTTCACATGAGAGATTCTGAAGTTGGGGCTTTAAATAGTGTGATTCTTCCTTACACTATTTACAATTTTACATTAAGTAGATTCATGTTTTAAAATGTAAAGTTTATAGGTACTTTTATTAAAAGTTTAATTATTCATAGGTAAATCAGTTTGGAGCTGCAGTTCTCTTTCTCTCTGTGTTGTCTACCTCATTCATTCAAGCACAAATTGTTAATTATAAACTTATTCTTTAAATTTCTTGCAGCCCAAATAAATCCATAATTTATTTATCTCGTTAGTCTCGGGACTTGTGAAAATTTGTTTACAATGATTTTCTCGTCTTGCTGGTCTTCCTACTTGAATTTTTTTTTCATAACTTTAAACTATTCTCCCACACAGATGACCAGATCGAAGCTGGAATCTCTGGTCGGTGACCTGATCAAACGTACAGTTGGCCCCTGTCAGCGAGCTCTCCAAGATGCCGAAGTGCAGAGGTCTGATATTGGTGAGGTGCTGCTCGTTGGTGGAATGACCAGGATGCCCAAGGTGAGTCAATTACTGTGGTGAACCACACCCAACACCGGCATTTTAATAGTGATGGAGCTTAAAAAAGAAGGCGAGAAAAAGTATAAATAATACATTGTATATTTCTTTTAGTAATTCTATTATTAGTTGCAGCCTAATGTACAGGGCTCCTGTGCCTAGCAGTTGGACTTTCACTGGTGAGAGGGTTTTGGCAAGGAAATGCCGCTGTTAATACCCAGCGTGTATTGAATTTCTTAGACATGTAGGTTTCCTCACGATGTTTTCCTTCACCACTGAGCAAGTGGTAAATCAGCAAAAAATGCAACTAACAATTTCAATTGGTGCCAGCGGGATTCGAACCCGGGTTGTTCGGGTACTGTGAATTTGTAACACATATTGTTATAGATACATGTTTTCTTTCTGCTCTCCTTCACCATATAAAATTTGACTATGCTAAATCTCACACTTCATTCTCGCAATATGTTTAAAACAATATTTTCTCTTCAGCACCATAGCACAAGCCGATGTCAGTCTTTACATGGCTGCCTAGGCCGTCCATAGAGACTGGTGCCAGATTAACTTGTAGACATATTCCCCGATTCTGCTTGTGCGATCTCGGGTTATAATCTCACAGACAAATTCAAATTTAGAATTCAGTCAGTCATCATCAGGAGAAATAGATTGTGATTGCTGACCACCAAGACTAACCCACTGACACATGCAAATTATTAACAATGGTGTGTTTTTCTCACAGTAGTGGTTTTAGGATTTAGTGGTGACGATGATAGTGCATGAATTGAGGGTGCACTTCAAACAATTGAAAAATAATTAAAATCTTTAAATTAATGGATTTCTGCGAAGCTTTCCGCATTGGCATATGTCGTAGAGCAGCCACGCTGCAGTTATGTTATGGATGTAATACGATTGGGGTAGCTCGACCGGGTAAGGACCACACTCACAGAAGTTTAGTTTAGTTTACGACGGGCTGTTTTCCGCAACTCCACGTCTATGCGCGTATTTTGCGTGTGGGCAGGAATAATGTGATTATTCGAGCCATGAGATCTCTCCGAAGAAGCTCAACAGGCCCTTGATGTTGCATGCAACTTCGGGGAGTGATCCCGGCGTGCCGAGATGTTTAGCCCTGTATGTAGCGACCTCCGGACATTTCAGTAGCACGTGGGCCGCCGTTTCTTCCTCCCCCATACATGCCCTGCACAGGGGACTATCTGTAACACCTATAGTAAATAAATGTTTGTTAAAGGTGCCGTGTCCTGTGATAGCACTTGTTACTATCCTAATCTGCGGCTTGTTCAGTCTCATTAAAACTTTTGTTAAGCGACTGTTAATTTCAGGCAGGGCATCCCTAGCTTGTCTACAGTCTACTAGATTTTTCCAAAGCTGAGCGTGTTGAATTGTGAAGTGTCTACGTACCAGTGAACAAACGTTACCAAAGGGGATTGGTATGATTGGTTCCGGCCCTATAGTGGCCAAAGCCGATCCTCTTCTGGCCAGTTCGTCTGCTGCATCGTTGCCTCTGGATCCACTGTGTCCCTTTATCCATTGCAGGGTCACATTGTTGTTTTTACATACCTCATTTAATCGTTGATGGCATTCATATATTAGTCCCGAGTTCACCACATTACATCTCAGGGCTTGTAGTACCGCCCTACTGTCGGTCAGTATTCTGATGGGGAAGTCATTAACCTTCCTAGCATCTATTGCTATGGCCGCTTGAATGATACCCATACATTCCGCCTGAAAGACCGTGTTATAGGTACCCAGCGGTTTGCAGCAAACAATTGAAAAATAATTAAAATCTTTAAATTAATGGATTTCTGCGAAGCTTTCCGCATTGGCATATGTCGTAGAGCAGCCACGCTGCAGTTATGTTATGGATGTAATACGATTGGGGTAGCTCGACCGGGTAAGGACCACACTCACAGAATATCAGCGTAAAATATAAGCTCAATGCTGATGTGTTTCATATGATAAATGTAGAGAACCGGATACCTTTTTTTACTGGAAACTAAGCACTCTATCTTGGTCTTCATGGATGACCAATGTATCATCATTTTGACTATTAATCAAGGATAGATGTAGATGTCTATTGGCCACAGCATTACTTACTATTAGCTGGACTTTGCACTCGTTTGTCATCCTTATTCAATAAAAAAGTAACGCGATCAAATTGTCATCATTGGAATGCTTTCACAGGTGCAACAGACAGTCCAAGAGATCTTCGGTCGGGCGCCGTCTAAAGCGGTGAACCCTGACGAAGCCGTGGCGGTGGGAGCTGCAATCCAGGGAGGAGTGCTGGCGGGAGACGTCACTGACATTCTGTTGTTGGACGTAACCCCGCTGTCGCTCGGTATCGAAACCCTGGGCGGAGTCTTCACCAAGCTCATCACCAGAAACACCACCATACCTACCAAGAAGAGTCAAGTGTTCTCGACCGGTCAGTAATGTTACGTCTTAACCTTGGTTTCTTATTCTTCTAAACTTCTTATACTACACGCACATTGTAATATTGATACTTTTTAACTGACTCTAAAAAAGGAAGAGGTTCTAGATTCGATGCGTATGTTTTTTAGGGATGTTCTTTGATTTCTTGGAAACAGCTGACCATTCGCATAATTTTCTTTTCTATTAAATGGGCCTCAAGGGGGTAATATACCAGAAGGTTGTGGTCCCATTTAAATTTGAAGTAAAATTCAGCTCCTTAGGGTGGAAAAGAAGGGGATGAAATATAATTTATATAGAACACTAGGATTTTCCACTGTATCATGGGAGCAGTTTATATACATAAATTTCACAAGGACAAACAACAAAACAATTATTTGTAAGCCATTCATAAACTTGTTCCGTGTGGGATTCGTACCCGCGGCCCTTAGCGCGTCAACTCATTGCTAAGCCACTGCGCCACGGAGCTGCTTTTAGGAGTTTAGTGATAAATACACATACAGAAGAATTATATATATATATATATATATATAAATAAATAAACTAGCTGTTCCTCGCGACTTCGTCCGCGTGGAATTTACTACGATTTGGGTTTTAATTTTTTTTCGCGGGACCGTAACTCTATTTTTCTAAAATAAAAGTATCCTAAGTTACTCCTTAAACAGATAAACAGACAGACAAACATTTTAAAAATTGTTTTTTGTTATTGGTACCATATATACTTTCATATGCATGTAGTAAAAAGCTGTTATTTTAACATTGCAAACAGACACTTTTATTTGTATAGATGTGTAGATTAAGTTTTAAGTTTCAAAGACTTGCATTTGATTAGTCCATAGTCACCCCTAATTGTACAATCACATGCACTGGTTCTACAATCTTGTTTTAAAGTTTTCATATCTGGCATAGTATATGAAATGTCATAGCACCTGTCTAAGCCGTTCGACTTGCATAGTCTTGGGGTAAAGCGCGGTGCTAGAGCAGAGGGATTGTCGCGCGAACCGCTACGTGTGCTAGCGTCGCGGTACGATACGCTGTCCTACAGTACATTAAAAATAATATCCTTGCCAGTTTTGATGACGACTATTCAACATCGTGTCCATTTCAGTTTTAAGTAGAAAAAAATTAAGTTTTAATAAAAAGTAAAAGTTGACTCCAAATATAAAATATCATAATTAACTTTTTTATAAATAGAATAAGAGTGACTAACCAGCACACAGTCCACCTGATGGTAAGGGGATACTGTGGCTTATAGACATCTACATCAATACTCTATAAATAATCAAAATGCAGATACGTTGTCACCCCTGAGGACTAAGATAGAATGCCTCGTTTCCAGTAAAATGGGTCTCCAGTTCTCTACACTCACCATACAAAACACAGAAACATTGAGCTGATATTTTATGCTGGAATTCTGTGAGTGACATACTCTTACCCCGGTCAAGCTGACCCATTCGTGCTGTAACCATAATACAGCTGCAACATGGCTCTACCACATATAAAATAGGTCCATCCTGAAGTTTGCTAAGGTCATAAGACTGGTTTTACTTTTTAATAAATGTAAATATTTTAACCCCTTTGAGTGTAGTAATAAATATCACTATCTTAAGATCGTCTAAATAGTTACGTACTTGTATACTTTAGGTTGTTTTTTGGTTGTATACTTGCTTTAAATTTTACTGTACGCGAGCAACCCGCCGGCACCAATGAAATTGTTAATTGCAATTTTAAGTGCTGATTTACCACATGCTCAGTAGTGAGGTAAAACATTGTGAGTAAGGACACATCGAAGATGATGTGAAGCCTGCCAACATGCATTGGGACTGAGTGGACACTTTCTTTCCCTAAACTCGAAGAAATTAGAGGAAGCTTATCGTTTGGAATCCAGACTTAAAATATCCAGATCAAGGATGGGCAGCATCATCAAAGATGTTCACACCTCGTACTGTAATCATGAAGATAGAACCTAACCATAAACATTGTTTACAGCCGCTGATGGACAAACACAAGTGGAGATCAAAGTGCACCAGGGTGAGCGTGAAATGGCAGCAGACAACAAACTCCTCGGACAGTTCTCTTTGGTGGGGATCCCACCAGCTCCACGAGGGGTGCCACAGATTGAAGTGACTTTCGACATTGACGCCAACGGCATCGTACACGTATCTGCACGCGACAAGGGAACTGGGAAAGAACAGCAGAGTGAGTCATTGAGTGTTCTAGATTTAACCGATATTGCTGGATAATCTTGTCAATGTATGGTGGTGATATACATTATTTCACTGTCCTATCTATTTTTGTACAAGTCTACCTCATGATGGTAAGTAGATACTTCAGCCCATAGAAACCTATATCTATCCTCGATCGACTGATTTGTCTAGTGATCGTAAATGCGACTGATGATCATGTAGTCCCTGGTCCACATCCCGGCTCAGGCTAAATCAATTATTGGGGCTTTTTGTCAAGAAATTCTCCGTAAAGTAAAGCTGTTGGTTTCGCATCTGATCGTGTCGGATTTTTGTCCAATCGAACTATGAGAGTGAGAGTATTGAGTGTGCCTGTACATGCGCTTGCACACACACTTGTAGCATTATAATGTTGTTTTTGATGGATGGCAGAAATTAGGTCTTTTTTTTTATAGAATAAGGGTGACAAACGAGCACACAGTGGATGCTGTGGACCATAAACACCTACATTTATCTTCAATAAACAAAAAAGCAGATGCGTTGTCACCCCTGAGTACTAAGACGGAATGCCTTATTTCCAGTGAAAAGGGGTCTCGGGTTCTCTACACTTACTGTACGAAATACAGCAGCAATAAGATGCTACTAAACGCTGGTATTCTGTGAGAGTGTAGTCCTTCCCTGGTCGAGCCGAACCATTTGTGCTGCAATTATACTACTAATATAGCTGCAGCATGGCTCTACTACGTAAAAAGGTCTGCAGGACATTACCATCATAGGCATTAAATTCAATATACTTTATCACCATATTGCTATAATAATATAATAAACTGTACTTACGAGCACTCAACTTAAACCGTTCAGCTAAGATAGCGGGATGGTGAATCAGGGTGCCAGAGAAAATGGATTGTCGCGCGAACCGTTGCGTTTTACTAGCGTTTCGGAACGATACGCTGTCCTACACGTATTTACACCTAGGCACTTATGAGGTGATCTGATAAAGAAGACAATCGTTTTTGGCCCACTAGAAATTTTACATTGATACTAGCGCCCTCTTATAGGTTTTACACATTTTGTTCAAGAGATGGCGCCACTACCGGCATTTATATCATTATTATTTATTTCAATAAATAATAGAAAATATGTTATTATTTTATTGTAAATACTATAATATTTTGGACATTAGGTAGCTTGCTTTTACTTTGATACTAGCGCCATGTCAAAGTCATTAAAAGCACTATTTTCCCCAATATTTTTAGACATTTTATTAAAAAGATGGTGTCACTGTTGGCATTTATTATTTATACTGACGCCATCATATATTTCTCATTATCCCCGTTAGATACGGTAAAACTAATATTACTTTTGTAATCTATAGGTCAGAAGGAATAAATCGACATGTATTTCATTAAGCAATAAGCTGCTATTTCTCGCTGGTATTCTGTGAGAGCGTGGTTCTTCCCCGATCTAGTTGCCTCTACCACATTATTCTCTATCTTATAAAAACATTATTCACTTTATCTACATGAATTTAAATGTTTTATATTTTTCTTCTATACAACTACATTTTTGTGTAGTGCAAACAGTTTCACATCTTTTCCTATGATTGAAAACAATGGAAATATTTGACACTTTAATTTTCTCAACAGTTGTTATCCAGTCATCAGGCGGTCTGTCCAAGGACGAGATCGAGAATATGGTAAAGGCAGCCGAGCAGTTTGCTGCGGCCGACAAGCAGAGAAGAGAACGAGTGGAGGTGGCCAACCAGGCTGAAGGCGTGCTGCATGATACCGAAACAAAGATGGACGAGTACAAAGCACAATTACCACAGGATGAGGTAGGTTTTGTGGTTTCTAAAAAACTGAGTCCTTAGGGGTGACAATGTATCTGCATTTTGATTCTTAACTGAGAATAAATGTAAATGTCTATGGGCCATAGCATCCACATACCATCAGGTAGATTGTGTTCTCGTTGTCACCCTTATACTTTATAAGAAAAAAGGAAAATGTTGAAGCTATTTTTTATGAACACCCTTACTTCTCTAAATATGATTGACAATTATTTATTTTATGAAACCCATCGCCATCTTGTATGTTAAATTTTGTTATATAAGTGAGGCAAACGAGCGTGCCGCTCACCTGATGGTAAGTGACTACTGCTGCCCATGAACAACTGTAACACCAGTAGAATTTCAGGTGCGGTGCCGGCCTTTTAACAAAGAGTAGACTGAAAGACCCTGCGCGTATCGATCCTGAAAAGTCGCTGATGGTATTAAGTTGGGCGAGGAAGAATATTTCTGGTAAATCAACAGTGGATTGCGAATTTATGCATCTTTCTAAACCATTCAACTAACATAGTTGTGTGGTAAAGCGAGATGCTATAGTAGTTGGATTGTCGCACGACCCGCCACGTTTCTTTGCGTTGTGGTTACGATACGCTGTCCTACAGTTAAATTGGATAACTGATTTTTCAATCATCAAACAAAATTTATTCAAATAATTTATATGTGGTAGAGTCACTCTGCAGTTATATTATAGTTATAGTTATAACATATATGGGTTAGCTTGACCGGGGAAGGACCACGTTGTCAAAGAATAGTAGCTTAATGCTGCTGTGTTCCGTATGATGAATGTAGAGAACCAGAGACCCTTTTTACTGGAAACGTTAATCATGAATGATTTATCCATTTGACTGGGGTTACATCAAAGTATTGATGATTGCAATTACATTTTTGACTGTTCCGAATTAAATGCTTGACAGGACCTAAAAAAGGAGTATTAATGTCCGACGACCGACATTATCGAGCGGGTCTCACAGATCACAGAGTACTAAACTCGAAATGATCCATTTGAATGATCGACCCGAATGAGCTGATTCGTAAGAAGAATTAATATTTGAATTATGTTGACACTTCAAATGAATGAATGACACTTGTCTACTGGAAACGTGGCATTCTATCTTAATCCTCATCTATGGCCTGCACCCACTTAACATCAGATGGACTGTGTGCTCTTATGTCACCCTTATTCTATAAAAAACAGGTCACTGTAATATGAGTAAAGTAGTTCAACAGTTTCACTTCTATGTTTAGTCAGGTTATAGTTTATTTAATGGATAAATTTTATTAAATGATTAAAAATTCGGCCCTTTGACTTGGGCTGTATAAATAAGTGATTGATAATGATGATGATCCTATCGTATTTCCTATATCCAGCGGGTATAATATATATTTTTCAAATCCACAGTGCGACAAATTACGCGAAGAAATTGCCAAACTACGTGATCTGCTTGCCAAGAAGGACTCTGTTGATCCCGAAGAACTCCGCACTGCCACCGGACAACTGCAGCAAGCAAGCTTGAAGCTGTTCGAGCAGGCGTATAAGAAGGTTAGTGTCTGAAATTAAAGTCAAAGTCCAAATTTTGTTAAGAATAGACTTTATGAGAATCAAGGAAACTACGATATCGCTTCAAAAACTTTCTTACTCCCTTACTTCGGGACAGCTTGAGAAAAGAAGTAGCACGAAGCAAGAAACTAGACTATTTACCTTCCAAAGTTACAATTTAAGGTTATAGTGAAAACGTCTAAGGAAGCTCATGTCCACGCATTCTTGTGTTTTAATTAATCATGTAATTTATTACATCCTTTCTTTATAAGATTTTATTTTGAATTGATGCGAAGAAGAAGCGATAATATTACAAGTAATCTTGTTATAAATAGTTGTAGATTTACCATTGATCACTAATACACAATCCCATGCAAGTTCTCTAAAAACTGTCGCCAATTGTTTTGACGTAGAAATAAATCACTAGTTGAAATAAATATACGTTAATGTAAATTCAACCTTAAATGCTTTGCCTAAAGTTGTATTCACATAGCTACACATAAATTAAAAGCGCACCCAAATGTTCGAGCGGGCGCCCATTAGGTAGGGACATTTTTTGTCACTGATTGTTTAATTAGTTTTTTATTAGTGATCGATGACATTTACCCAAAAAATTACTATAACTTCATATAATATTTAAATATAATATAAATAAAGTGTCTATCTGTAATATCGAAATAACTGTCTTAAACTGACTATTTGCATGCCACTAAGACATTTTTTTAAATTTATATCCGTCTGCCTGGGCTAATGTTCGGAATATATTAGCTAAACCGATTGTAATGAAACTTCACGAACAGATGGATAACAACACCAGGAGTGATCTAGGCTATATTTTCTTTTTCTTCCTCTTTTAAATTATGGCTTCTCTTGATGGAATTGTACCAGTGTCAAGTCATTGGCTGTATTTTATCAGGGAGGCAGGATATTAAAAAAAATATAATATGAATGGTTTTTAATTATCTGAAATCTAAATAACATCACATTAATAGGCGAGACAGGGATATGAACCAAGAAGATGCGTCGCGGCATCTTCCTGTTAATAGTTAAAAATTATAAAAAACTGCAGTTGCCAACTAGCTTGCCAAGCCAATAAGGCAATCTGCGGGGAAGACCTACGTTCAGCAGTGTACTTTTGATACACTTGTAATAGTGATTTTTTTTTTTACACAGTATATTATGAATTTAAAGTACTTTTACGTGGTAGAGCCCCTACTACATATATATTTTGATTGTAGCACGAATGGGTCGGATTGACTCTGGGTAGGTTACCTCTCACAGAATACCAGCGTAAAATAGCAGCTTAATGCTGCCGTGTTTTGTATGGTGAGTATAGATAACCGGAGACCCCTTTTTACTGGAAAAGAGACTTTCCATCTTAGTCCTCAGGGGTGGCAATGCATCTGCAACTGAAGATACATGTAGATGTCTATGGGCCACAGTATCCACATACCATCAAAAAAATTGAAGTCAATGCACACTTTTGAGCCAGCTCGTGCTATACCATGGTGCAGTTGGTCAAGCAATTGTGCTATATAAATTGAAGCGAGTTATCACCCCGTGGCATTAAAGTGACATGGGACGATTTACGTTTCAAACAGTCATTTTAAGACTTGTAAAGGAAGTGGTTGGTATAAAAATCTGAGCTTTATGGATGAAATATATCCTAGGACACTCCTGACATTGCTTTCTATCTGTTTGTGAAGTTTTATCACGACGCGATACGGGCAGAAATACTCTGCTGGGTCCTAGCTTTGAAGAAACAGTCCTCTGAGCGCAATTATTTCGTTATTATAGACACACTACAATTTTTGTTAACATATGTAGTTCAGTAACTATAATCTGCGAATTCTTTCAACAGATGGCGGCTGAACGTGAAGGTAAACAGCAGCAGCAAACAGAGCAACCGCAAGAAGAAAAGAAAGAAGAGAAAAAGAATTAAATTTTAATATCACTAAACTGTAAATACAATATATGTTTTGTATTGTACGGTTATAACATGTCTAAACAAAATCTATGAACAAAAATGAATTGTATTCGGTTTTGAATGTGGCCAAATTTAACTTTCAACGGCTTTTATTAGCTAGTAAAGTGTATGATAGAGGAGACAGTGAAAGTCAAGCCATCGCAAATAATGACCCCAGCTGCTTGACTTTTTGAAGGATATGAAATATTTCCTGCCTATTTATAAATACATCAAATCCATAAAAACGAAGATCCCGAAATGAAATGAAGACACTTCTTAAAGGACAAGCATCCAAGCCAAAAATCTTAATAAGAAATGTATTCTGTGTTCGTACTAACATGTCTACCACATGTTTCCTCTTGTAGGTTACTTAACTGATTCGTGGGTTTGATGATAGCTTATATTCCTCTGCGTCGGGTCTAAGGATTCACTCTTGTTTTAATTTTTACTTCCCCTTGTACAATGTTATGAAGAGGCAGGGGTAGGGGAGGCCGACAACATCGCTACAGATTAGAGAATAGTTACTACACCTAAGACTGACGCGACGCAATATATACTTTAAATACACTAACAACGGCTTCGCAGGGCTGAGTTCTGGTTCTCGACAACAGCGCCACCTGCCGGCTCCAATTGCGAAATTAAACCATGCCAGGTACCACTCATTACCGAGACTAACGGACAGCAATTGATTTTTATATATAACAGGATTTCTTGCTATTAAATTAAATTTAGACATGTCATAACCGTAGAACTCAACATATACAAACAGTGCAATTAGTTGTATCTTTACACCAAATGTTTAACAATGCATTCATCGAAGAAGACTGCAGTCTTCAGCAGATATTACTTAAGTTTCAGTTCAATAAAAAGGTGACAAGGATATCTTTCTTTTTGAAACAAAGAAATTTATTCAAAAGAAGGTTATATTAAGGTTAAGGCCATTTGTAAAATAGGTGATTGAAAATAATATACCAGGCTGGTCCATACGTTTTACAAATACTATTTTCTATATAATTACAATCTCGATTTATTAATATTTATTTCAGGAATGTTTAAAATAGTACACAAAATTAATAACATCGCCATCTATTGTACTATTTTAAAACTAGGTATTGTTAATGGTTAATATATTATTATTATAATATTTATAATGCTAGGTATTGTTAGTGGTAAATATTAAAGTTAATGTATCATATTTAAATGAAGACAATAAAGATAGAAAATTTTAGTAATCGAACCTTTTCTAAATCTAATCAATCCAGAATCTGGCTCACCGATACAACTAAACCGCCTGTATCCAATCATTATACTAAAAATATATATTACATTATTATGTTTTATTAGACCAACAAATTGCCTAGGGTATACCATACCATAAACAACCACCAGCCTTAAAGGACTTACATCTGCACATATGTAAATCTTTAAGGCTGGTGGTTATTTATGGTATGGTATATCTTAGGTAGTTTGTTGGTCTAGTGACAAAATATAATAATGTTATATATATTTTTAGTATATAATGATTGCATGCAGGCGGATTGTATCTGTAAGCGAGATTCTGGATTGATTAGATGTAGAAATTGTTGGAATACTAACATTTTCCATCTATGTTGTGTTTAAGTATTATGCATTGATTTTAATATTTCTGCGTAAGGGCTGGGGGACCGCACTTTATAATGGCGCCACTAAAGTGGTCCTAAAATGGTGTTCTTTACACCGAAGTGAATTACAGCCGTAGTGGAAACGGTCGTGAATTTTAACAGCAAAACAACTTCAAAGGCTGGCCACATCGTAGTTCAAATTAGTTTTAACAAACGGCGCCAGCTGATACACAAAACGTCATTTAAGTATTCAGACAACCGTATCCTTTCTTTTTAAATAAATGTTATATAGTACTAATCTTTGAAAAGCGCTCACAGAGACTCCATCTTGGTTGTTGTGTTCACAATTATTTTTGTTACTATATGCTTTGTTCAATGCATGATGTGGGAGTTACATTGTCTATTGGAAATGTAATGTGCTTTTTATATCAGAATAATAAAATTTTAATCACCCTTTTGTATTAAATACTGCGTATTATCATCTATCCACACGCAGTAGGCATTTTGTTGGTTATAATAACACGTGCATTTTTAATATTGTCGATCGAAACGTTTACGGATTTTAGGGTTAGATTTTTAAGTTTGTTCGCGTGTATGCTTGTCTGTGTGATTGTTTGTACGGCGGGCGCGGCAAATTGTATGTCCGACTATTAGTTAGTAGAAATATATAATTTCCAGAACAATTTGTGTTTTATTTATTGATGTGTTTCATATCTTTTTTTATATAGGATAGGGTGACAAACGAGCACACAGTTCATATCTTTTTTTTATATAGGATAGGGTGACAAACGAGCACACATCCACCTGATGGTAAGTGGTTGCTGTGGCCCATATACATCTACATCTATCCTCGTTTGCAAATGAAAATGCAGATGCATTGTCACCCGTGAGAACTAAGATGGAATGCCTCTTTTCCAGTAACAAAGGTCTCCGGTTCTCTACACTCACCATACGAAACACAGCAGTGTTAACCTGCTATTTTACGCTGGTTTTCTGTGAGAGCGTGGTCCTTCACCGGTCTAGCCGACCCAGTCGTGCTACAACTATATTACTAATATAGCTGCAGCATGGCTCTACCACGTAAGAGCTTCTAATTAAGTTTATTAGTTTATAATGATTTCTCAATCAGAATGAATATTTGTGCAAAAACAAATTGTTAGTTTTTGGATCAGAATGTGTTGTTATGTCCGGATATCTTTGACAAATTTTCAAACATCACGACACCCAAAATCCAATCGAATGGTCGCCTTGTGAATGTGGCCTAAGCTAACAATATAACTTGATGGTCCGAAGGCTCATGACGCATTTTTCATGAAGTGTTTGATGCATCATGAAACTTTGTTTAAAGGTATCAATCAGTCGACTCAATAAGCAGGTAAATGACTGTCTGCCTGGCCTACCTGGGTACACTTGGTACTGCGCATACTGGTTAGTTGCAAAAAAAAAAGTGTTTGATTCAAATAATAATAATGACTATTCGTCAGCTAAGTTGATAAGGAATTGAGAAAAAAAATGGCAGATAAATTAAAAAGATGTTTTTTTATGTCACTTGTATGGACTCAGTCTGAAATAAAATGATTTTATTTTATTTATTGCAATGTTATCCTGGTTTAATTTGCTATTTTTGCTGTAAAAATGGCAGTTTAAGTCATACTCTTTTTTGGAATTTTTTAAACTAGACGATAGAGATTTTGAAAATGACGGATAGTCATTATTATTATTTGAATCAAACACTTTTGGGCAATTTTTTTGCGACTAACCAGTATGCGCAGTACCAGGTGTACCCAGGTAGGCCAGGAAGACAGTCATATACATGCTTATTGTGTCGACTGATACCTTTAAACAAAGTTTCATGATGCATCGAACACTTCATAAAAATTGCGTCATGAGCTCTCGGACCATGAGGTTTATAGAACAGGAACAAGTCTGCCGATGGTAAATTTCCCGCCAAAACTCCTGCTATAGATTATTAAGTGGGTGCTACCACCGTGTCTAAACTATTATAAAATAAAAAGCATTTTACGTATCATTTATTATTTCTATTTCGGCTAATTATTACAATATATCTTATGGAATGTAAACTTATATTCTTATTTGTCATTAATTTAAATGGCATAAAATAAAATTAATAATCTTACAAAGAAAGTTCATGTTAAAGTAAATTAAAGAAACGCTTTGACATTCTAAAGTCGTTTAAATACAAGCTGACAACTTATTTGCACTATTAATGTTACGTATCTTTAGCACTAATAGCCCTCCAGTGATCTTTTTATGCAAGGAAATCTTACCTACTGGCATATAGCCTTTTTTATAGGATAGGGTGACAAACGAGCACACTATCCACTCGATGGTAAGTAGTTGCTGCGGCCCATAGACATCTACATACATCTATCGTCGATAACAAATCAAAATGCAGATGCGTTGTCACCCGTGAGGATTAAGATGGAATGCCTCTTTTCCAGTGAAAAGGGTCTCCACTTCTCTACACTCACCATACGAATGATACGAAACACAGCAGTGTTAAGCTGCTATTTTACGCTGGTATTGTGTGAGAGCGTGGTCCTTCCCCGGTCGAGCCGACCCATTCGTGCTACAACTATACCACTAATATAGCTGCAGCATGGCTCTACCACGTAAAAACTAAACTAAGACTAAACGTATGAGAATGCTGTGGCCCACCGACAGACACCTGGCATATATTATATCAAAAAATGTAGATGCATTGTAATGTAATAGTAGAATATTCTGACAATAAAGACACTTTACCGATTTTTACAAACAACTTTAGAAAAAGGAGGAGGTTCTCAATTCGACTGTATTTTTGTGTGTGTTAAATCAGAACTGTTTTTTAGGTGAAAGGGAAGGCCGATTTTGATGATTCATTTTTTTATTTCTCATGGGAACCACATATATATAAGTTTTATCGAGATCTGATCAGTAGATTTTGAGTTACCCTTAATAATGCGTATTTAATTGACTTCAACTACATTGGCGATGTTCTCATTTTATTTATATTGAAGTCGGTTGTACAAAATTTGTAATTTTACCACTTGTCAATGTAAAATATTTTATTCTGTTTTTCAGAACGACCCTTATAATGTTAGGAGGATATTTGTGTGGGGTTTAATTGATACAAACGCACTTTTTCCTCTGTTATTCCCTGGATCTTCTAGACTAAATATTCTTATGCTACATCTAATTTTACTACTATCAAGTTCATGATGATTTATCACAAATTCATTTTTAAAACGGAACCTTTCCTTAACAGAATTAGGGTTACGAGCGAGCACACAGTCCTCCGGATGGTAAGTGGATACTGTGTCTCATACACATGTACGTTTATCCTCGCTTAAGTATCAAAATGCAGATGCGTTCGTCACCCCCTGAGAACTAAGATGGAGTGTATCGTTTCCAATAAAAAGGGTCTGCGGTGCTCTACACTCACCATGAGAAACGCAGCAGCAATATTCTGCTGGTACCCCGGTCAGGCCGACTCATTCGTGTTGCATTTTGACTTCATAACGTAAAAATACTGCAATTTGTCCAGTTTTACTGCCGTTATTAGAAAAAATTAAAGAGACATACACATAATAATATTGAATTAATTTTTTTAAAAAATATTCAAATCGGTCCAGTTTTGAAAGAGGAAACAGGGGATAGGTTGATGATTACGTCACTTTTTACCAAAAATAGATCTGTTAATAAACCTACTCCTATTATGTATTTTGCGCTCGCATTTCTTAAAGGTGCAAGTTTTATCATTAAATATTCATAAAAAGGTTAGTAAGTTCTATAATCCATACTTTGTTACCTTTAAGCCATGGCAGCTTAACGCTACTGTGTTTCGTATGGTGAGTGTGGAGAACCAGAGACCCGTTTTACTGGAAACGAGACATACCATCTTGGTTCTCAGGGGTGACAACGCATCTGCATTTTGATTCTTAATCGGTGACTAATGTAGATGTAGGTGGACTGTGTGCTCGTTTGTCACCCTTATTCTATAAAAAAAATATACAGAATGTCTAATTATCCTCCTTTTTAACCCTTAAACTTTACAATATTATGTCGAATTTCAATTGTCTACTTAAAATAATTACCAAGAAATACATCGAGGCGAAGTGATCCCGTTTAGAATTCCTTATGGAGCGAAAAACTCTATACAGACAGCGCCATGAACTACCAACACTGCTCAATGGGTACCCTCGCCGGCAATAGTTAACGCCTTGCCCTGTGGATCGTCGTACTTGTCATTCGAGTGACAGTTGTACATAGCGGACACCGCACACGCGAGAACGCCGAGACAAATAAACGTGACGAAGAGTCCCGCGAGGATAACCGAGTTGAAATACGGGCCACAATTCACCGATTTACCGAAACTTTTCGGCGTATCTGGCGCGCCTTTATCGGCTGGTGGTGGGGGGTTGGGATTGGTATCGGCTGGAGGGGGTGCCTGGGGGGCCGCAGCCGCATCGCCTTCGTCCGCTCTGATGACGCCCGACCAATCCTCATTGTAGTCGGAGCGTCCACTTCGTTTGAATGGTTGTATCTGAAAATTCAAAAGATATTTTTTTTTAATTGGACTGTATGTTAGTAGGTCTCCTTTTTACCAACTTCAAAAAAGGAGGAGGTTGCCACTTCGACTGTATTTTTTTGTGTGTCACTTCAAAACTTTTTACTAGGCGAACCAATTTTGATGATTCTTTTTTTATTTAGAATAGAATATTTTTTTTAATTCAATATACATTACATGTGTAATTCTTATTGAAAGTCATTTTTTACTTTACCACTGGTTCGAAAAAAACCCTCTGTCCTGGGAAGAAGCAGCAAGAAACCCAGCGGGACGTTTTTTTAAAATAAATTTTACGATATAAATGATTACGAAGTATTTACAAGATTTATTTTAGAAACTGCTTGGAGGCGACCACCTCATTCCCAGGGGTTATTATCAACCATGTATTCATTTATACTATAATAACCCTTTTTATACAGTTCCAGCTTAATAAAACATTTAAACTTGGTAATAGAGAGAACCTGTACACTTTCCAGGACCTTGTTGTAATAGCGTATACATTGCCCCAAGAATGAATTACTGACTCTGTGGAGTCGAGAAACGGGTATCACTAGCTTGTGTTTGTTCCTAGTGTTTACAGAATGTATTTTATTTTTTTATTTAATATTCTTTATTGCACACCATATTAAATTACAGAAATTCTATATATAAAAGAAGTTTGCAATGGGCGGTCTTATTGCTGATAGCAATTTCTTCCAGACAACCAATGAATGGACAGGATTGCACAAATATGTCAAGGGCAGGGCAAATTGGTGTGTTAGAGAAAAAAAGAAATAAAAAAGAATAAACACATACATACTATACATACACATACTATAAACATATATACATACAATATATATATATATATTGAATTATTTAATTAATTAAATGAAATTGATCATACACATATGTATCATATATGATATATTATTTAATAGCTAGATATGCTTTAATTATTAACGTTAAACCAATGCACTAATTTTGATATAGCATTATTCACTTCGTCACATTTAAATGATTGACATTTAAGTTTATAAATGAAGGAAGTATCATCAGCAAATAATACTATATCATGACTATCCCGTACAAGGTGAGGTAAGTCATTAATATACACCAGAAACAGGAATGGGCCGAGAATCGAGCCCTGAGGCACACCCATTAGTACAGGTGACCCGGAAGAACTTTTACCATTGATAATAACCTTCTGCTTTCTATTACTTAAATATGAAATAATAAGTTTAAGCGCTGTGTTCTTGACACCATAGTACTGTAGCTTCCTGATTAATGTCTCAAGGTGAACACAGTCGAAGGCCTTGGAAAGGTCACAAAATATACCCAAAGCATTCTCTGAATTCTCCCATGCACAAAGATATGTTTAATAAGCTCAACTCCAGCGTCATTTGTCGAGCGACCCCTTGTAAAACGGAATTGATTTTTATGTAGCAATTTATTAATATTAAAGAAACTTAACATCTGATCTAAAATAATTTTTTCAAAAATTTTACTTAATGTTGGTAGTACAGAAATTGGTCTAAAATTGGCGGGGTCTAATGTACTACCAGATTTAAATAGAGGTATGACTTTACTATGTTTCATTAAATCATGAAACACACCAGATTCGACGCTTATATTAAATATAGTGGCTAGATAAGGTGCTAATATATCTATTATAGATAAAATAACTTTAACGGAAATCCCCCATAAGTCTGCCGTTTTCTTAACATCAATAGTTTTAAAATATTTAACGATATCTTTTGGCAGTACCCTATGGAATTTAAAAGTATTTGAACAAGCCTTTACATTTTGTTTGAGCAATGATTCGGTGACAGTAGGAGAAGAATTTAATGATTTTGTTGTCAAAAAAGGAACATCAGTAAAATGTTTCTCAAAAGCCATAGCAACTTCTTGATCAGATCACGTTAAATTATTGTTAATATTCAATTGAAAATCCGAGTTGCGCGGTTTGACCTTGCCCGTTTCACTATTTATTATTGTCGAGGTCATTTTAATTTTGTCGGATGCAGTTTTAATTTTGTTGCTAAATGTAAAGCCTTAGCAGTGGAGCACACTTTTTAAATATTTTAGAATATGTTTTTACATAATCTCTAAATATAATACTACTATTATATGATCTTTCATCATAAAGCTCGTATAACCTTCGCCTACTTTTATAAATTCCTACTGTCGCCCATTCATTAAATGATTTGCGACTGTTAAAAGAGAAAGTTTTAGAAGTAAATATTCTACTAAATTCACAACTTATAATTTCAAATAATGTAGCATACAAATAATTAGCACTATTTTTAAACGAAAGTGATGGAAGTCTTTTTATTATATTACTTCTAAACCTCTCCAAGCGATGTTCATTTATTGGCACAAACACAACTTTCTTATTTTTCTGATTTTTTGTGTATGTAAGGTAGTGATACTAACTGTTCACAGTGATCTGAACTTAAATTTTGAATAATTGATTGATGCAAGGGCTTAACATCTGTAAAAATGTTATCTATACAGGTCGCGGTACGACTTTCCATTGACGTCAGTGGAGTTTGGTGCTGATACGTATTTTTACAGAAAGATTACACTATTATAAGCACACACACAAAGTCTCAATATACGGAAACGCGTAATTTTTGAGAAAAGAATAATTGAAAATCAATTATTCTTGCAATGTTTATGTCTAATCTGCTAATAAACTGGCTACTCCCCCTACGCGCCTCCGGTTCTATATAACCACTCTAGGGGTAGGACAGACTCGTACCACGTGGAGTCGGGGTCAATAAATTTGGTTCTTTGACATAAGTAGAACCTAACCTATTTTATTTATTATCTGCCCTAATAGGTACTGTTAAAATAAACATCCTTGAAAATCGCCATTAAAACTGATTTTACTGATAAGAGATCATTTATTGTATTATCTTTCTTTTTTTCCAGAAGAAATCATTTATTATGGTATCTTATAAATGCAAACAGGAAAATATATCTATATTTTAGAAATCCATTTTTTGTGATATCACGACAGCTTACTATTAGAATCGATTTAAAAATCTATCTTTTTCGGAAAGAATCGACATCCGTACTGACGACGACAATGACATTACAAAATGGCGCCAGTTTTACGTTAGGAATGTAACATAAACATTGTAAAAATAATTAATTTTCAAATAATGTTTTTTCTCAAAAAGTACGTGTTTCCGCATATTGAAACTTTATGTGTGTGCTTATAATAGTGTAACTTTTATGTAAAAATACGTATCAATCCCCAACTCGATGGGAATAAATGGAAAGCTAAGCCGGTAACTGTATACTAGTCAGAGAGGTGGCCTCATATTATCTAGATCTAGGGCTAGATAAGAGATATAGAGAATAGATAAGATATAGACAAGAGCTGCTGTGCGTCCGCCTGAAGGGTATAGAGAGAGTATCTTTCCTGTATAGGACAGTTACTATACTCTTTGGTATCTTTATAGGCTGTAAGTAGGGTTACCAACTCTCGAAAAGACCAATTTCATAAATGGAATTTTATGAAATTGAGTAGGGGGGGGGGGGGGGCGGTTTGAATAACCATTTCCATCGAGACGAATTTAAAAAAAAGTATTTGAGTATTCTCCAGAATCAAACTGACAAAGAAAAGTAGAAGAAAGCTGTACCAATCTGACCAAAAGAAATTTTTACGCAATATCTATTATAAGTTTCACCATTCCAGAATTCTATACGTACTGCAATTATTAAAACACTATAAACTACTAAGTTTGGAATGTAGACGATCGCTTATTATGGGCATGATGCTGCATAGGTTGTGTAATAACAGGTTTGACTGTAGTTATATCTTATATCACTAATAAGTTATGTTATATTGCACCAAGAACTGTCCACGCGCAGTGCGAGCACACCGTTTGTTTTACACCATGAGGTGTAAAACTGCTACTGAGCATTTATTGGCAGAAAATCCCAATAACAAACGAGCACACAGTCCACCTGATGGTAAGTGGTTGCTGTGGCCCATAGACATCTACATCTATCTTCGTTTGCGAATTAAAATGCAGATGCGTTGTCAGCCGTGAGGACTAAGATAGAATGCCTCTTTTCCAGTAAAATGGGTCTCCGGTTCTCTACACTCACCATATGAAAAACAGCAGCATTAAGCTGGTATCCTGTGAGAGCGTGGTCTTTCCCCGGTGGAGCCGACCCATTCATGCTACGACTATACTATTAATATAGCTGCAGCATGACACTTCCACGTGTAAAACGTTGCCGGTATTTAACCCCCGTGCCTCGGAAATACCTAAAGCTGTTGATCCTGGGCCTGATTTTTGTTCGATTCTTTCGGATAACCATCCCAATTGACTACGAGAGTGAGAGAATAGAGAGTGCATTTGTTGGGCGCCGTGACCGCAATTTGGTTTGCATGACATTATTATTAAAAATAAAATTGTATAATAACCTGATAATGAGAGATAGTGACTGCACTGCCGTCTCGCGTATTTATCACCACCAAGGGCTCCCCGCACACGTATGACCAGTCCCAGGGTGCTCCTACACCCAACTCCGATCGCCCCACCTCCTCTCCGCCCTCGAGGAGGGCCACGTTATCTAACCATATAATTTGTATTAACACATTGCATATAATGCATACCAATCCCATATTACATACATAATCGTATAGCGAAGTACATAAACGTACGACAGAGGGTAACTGAAACAAGAGATGGGCAGCAGCATCTTCCTGTTAATACAAAACCCGCGTGCCAAGCATGGCAACTGTGGCAGAATCCCCTCTATGGGGAGGCCTAAGTTCAGCAGAAGACTTTTATGGATGGATGGATTAATTCCATGTTCCTATGGACGTTTATAGTCACTTGACGTGTAAAACATAGAGGCTTTATGCTGGCTGCAAGACCTTTTGCTGATTTTTCTGGTTTTGCCAAATGTGGACCCTAGTTCATCACTTCATGCAATGTTCACGTACAAAGGTGTGGTGGCGGAGAAAAAAGATCCATGAACGAACGTCACGACGTAAAAGGTGATTATGGTAAATATGAATTTTTTATTTTGATATAGCACTTGTAGTTTGCGAACGATAGGTGTTTTTATCGCCAAGATCGAAAGTGGTCAAAAAACATTTTATTAGCCGCGCGGTCGCTGGCGGTTGGCCGAAATTTGGTGGCGCCTGTCTGGCGCTTGAGTGGCTATGATGATAAGATTCCGAATTATTCGACGCCGCGCCAGTTTGATGATGAGTACCAAACGCCGCTATCTACCAAAGATAAACATATAATATATGTAAATATACAGGGTTATTTTTCAAAGAGTAGCCAAATTTTAAAATTAAGTTCAAATAATACTTATATATAAATAAAGATAAACCGTTATTGCAGTTTTTGAAAATATGAGTAAATACGGCTTCTAAATTACTTTGAAGTTATCTCAAATTGAATGTGATTTATGGGCAACAACGTTTTTGCCTACCGATCAACCCTTACGAATGTGTGAGTGTGTTTTTGCCTACCGATCAACCCTTACGAATGAGTGAGTTAAATCAGTTAAAATAATGCATTACCGCGCACTTTGAATTTAAAAGATCAAAAGGACAGAATGTTTGTGATTTTTTTCCTACTTTATTTACCTATATTACTTATTCTGAACCTTCTCTGCAAATCTGGCCGGTTATTAGTCTGTGTACAGGGTGACATATACAGGGTATTTTTGGAACGCTCCCGAAAACTAAGACAGGCGACAGCACCAAGTATACCTTTGATCATGGGCCATAAATAAATTTGATCCTGATGAAAAAAAAAAACATATTTTTACAACGTTTTATTAGCTTTATTCACGCGTCATCATGTTAGTACAGCTAAATGAAACGATAATTTCATAAAAAAATCATGAAAAGACTGAAACATAAAACCAGCAGTGGAAACTGAATTGATATCACCTGACTAATGGAGGTTAATGTACGCGCCAACGGTGAAAAAAGAACGCTGGCCTTGAACTTGGGCACTGAGCGATTTATCACATATTGGCCAGTATTACTGTGCCTGCATGCTATTGGTTCCCGCGCTTTGTTCGCTCCAAAAATACAGTCGCATACACAGCTTACTTTGCGACTCGCGACGATGTTTTAAAAAGGAAGGAAAAAAAATTATTTATATCTATTGTTTTATGACTAAACTAGTGAACGAAAAAGTGAATGGGGAAAATTGTGCAGTAAAGTTAAAATTGTTGAGGAAGAATACCGAAAAAATTACCATGTGATCGACCTGATGACGGAAGCTCAAGCGAAGATGAAAGTGATGATGAAGTAGCATCCAGTAACACCAACACACCATCAACATCTGGCTTCCATGTGACCCAAGACGTCATAATGGACGGCGTGTCACCCTTAGCTTAAGTTTTTTTGTTACAAACTACTTTATATTTTACGATAGAAATAACAAACAATGCTCAAGTAAACATTATCTATTTTTAATTCCCACCTCTTCCAAAGTTCTAAGTAGCTAGTAAAACACCTATTATGATTCTACAATAAAACAATTAATTACTATAATATTATAAAACAATAGCCCAATACCATGTAGTACTTTAGAACGCGATTGTACCCACACCCCCTCCGCTATCGACCTGTATCTAGCTCGGTACGAAACACGCGGTCGTAAGAAAAAAGGGCGCATCTAACAATTTATGAATAAATGAGTTAAATATACCATTCGATTCATGATAAGAAGGCGCATCTACTAAATTTTTTTAATATTCACAAATATCAATATTTTAGAAATTATCGTAAGAATTTTAGACGTAACTGTTGATCACAGATGACTTTTTTTAGTAGAAAAGACTTATACAAATTCAACATAAAAGAAAAGACTTATTTAACCAGTTGCTACGTCATCTTTAACAATATTTGGATCGATTACTTAAATTTAAATTATTCTTGTCTTATTATTTTATATCTTATTATTAAGAGCTTATATCTTATTATTAAGAGCTGGTGTTTCACATGTGGTCCCATATAAATTTGATCGAGGTCAGACCAATAGTTTTTGAGTTATCCTTAATTATTTATATTAAAGTCGGTTGTACAAATGTTTTAATTTTTAATTATTATCGTAGTAAGTCTTGTATGATATCCCTTTTAAAATCATTACTCAAGAGTTGCGGGTTGTTATTTTTTGTGTCTCACTACCAATGCTTTTCTAATATTTACTAAGAAAAAAGTAGTAAATTACTATTAGCGTCCTCTCAACTTCAAATGACCTTTCCAAAATATGTAAAAATGTTAAATGAATGGTAATTTTGTTTTATTTATTAGGTTGGGAAGACCCAAATAGTTATATACCAATGCTTTTCTAATATTTACTAAGAAAAAAGTAGTAAATTACTATTAGCGTCCTCTCAACTTCAAATGACCTTTCCAAAATATGTAAAAATGTTAAATGAATGGTAATTTTGTTTTATTTATTAGGTTGGGAAGACCCAAATAGTTATATGCGTCTTTCCTTCGATGTTTTTGTGTTGCCAGGTGTATTTTTTAATCTAAGATGAAAAGGAAAATTCGTTTTATTTAAATAAATAAACAAATTTAAAAAAAAAATAAGTTCGTCCTTGAAATCTTCATGTCTCTACGTATATATTTCAATATAGTTACCTTTTAATATACTTTAGACACGGGGTCTGAAAGAAAAATTCATCAATTTATTTTTTATTTCCATTTTACGTTTTTGTTAGTTACTTCCTTTTTTATTATGACGGCAGAATGCCTAACCCTGTCGCCTCACGCTTGTGACGCAGTAATTTTCAGCCTTGACGGGGTTCGTTGGTTTTAGTTTTTGAGACAGTTTCGTGTTGATTTTGTACACGCGTGCGCGAGCGACAGTTCAATCGTTTTGTTTAATAAATTTACTTGTGATTACGTGTTGATATTAAAGTTTTTGTTACGTTTTTGGATTCTTTTTTGTTTTAATAATGCCTAACGCGTACGTTTATAGTGGTTATTATACTGCCGTTGGTTATTATATCAGCAACAACGTGTGCCTGGTTCCATTGAGCACATTATCTGGACGGATGAGTCGACATTTACCAGAAACGGCCTGTGGAACCGAAGAAATACACACGTGTATTCAGAGGTTAACCCGCACGCTGTTCGACAAACCGGGCACCAAACCCGATGGTCGGTTAACGTATGGACAGGTTTATTTAAGGATCGCATACTGGGACCAGTGTTTCTGCCAGAGCGACTGAACGGACAGCGATACCTAAACTTTATAAATGAACAGTTGGTTGACATTTTAAACGACCTATCGTTGGCTGAATATCGCCGCACATAGTTCCAACATGATGGTGCCCCTCCACATTTCGTGAGGTTAGTCCGTGAGCGCCTCAATGAGCTATTTGATGATCGCTGGATCGGCAGACTAGGACCACACGCTTGCCCACCTCGCTCACCAGATCTGACTCCGTTAGACTTCTTTTTGTGGGGTATGTGAAAGAAAGGGTTTTTAATCGTGAATGTGATAGTGCTGAAGAAATGCGCCAAAGGATCGTGGATGCTTTCGAGAAACTACGTACGGACTGTGTCGAAGACCACACGATGATGCCCCGCCTGCACCCAAGTCTGCCTTGAAATGAATGGAGCACAATTTGAGCCGCATCTCATAAGACCACGGAGGATTTAGAGCAGTAAGCTGTTTCATAACTATTTTTTTTTAAATAACTTAGTACTAGACTAATCTGAATAGGTACATAACTGAATACACGAGAATAATAAACATACCTACACGATGAATAAAAACGCATGACTCCAACCTTGGTTACATTTCATTTAAGTATTTCTTCATTAGCGGGGAATCGAACCAGTTATTTGGGTTATTTAACCTGTAAATTCGGATTAAAGTGGCTACGTGGAGATAAGCACAGTGGCAAAATAGTAGGTTAAGTAGATAAGTTAGGTATTTAGACACGTGTTGTAAATTATTAGGTATTGTGGGAAGGCCCGCTAGTTGCGGGCCGCGCGAATTTGTGTTCGCGCGTACATTGACCTTTATCTAGCTCAGGTCAGGTGATATCAATTCAGTCATTCCACTGCTGGTTTTATGTTTCAGTATTTTCATGATATTTTTTATGAAATTATCGTTTCATTTAGCTGTACTAACATGATGGAGCGTGAATAAAGCTAATAAAACCTTGTAAAAAGATGATTTTTTTTTCATCAGGATCGAATTTATTTGTGACCCATGATCAAAGGTATACTTGGTGTTGTCGCCTGTCTTAGTTTTCGGGAGCGTTCCAAAAACACCCTGTATATGGCTATGTGGTGCCCGCCCGAGTCGGTAAGGTGACCGTAGGTGCAACTGCTATTCCCAGGTCCGCTAAAAAGCCTATTGGATTTTCCATAAATCCTGTGCCTGATCTCTCTCCGGTCATTTCGGATTACCCGACGGGACTATGAGAGTGAGGGAATGAAGAGTGCTACACTTGTCACACACTAGTGCACCATAACCTTGTTCTGCGCAAATGGCTAGTGTTAAGATTGAGGGTAGATTACTAATAAACGGTCGAACCCTCCCACTCGTATAAGCAGCATAAAGAACTGCGCAGGCAATTAGGTTGGGTCATTCAAAGAGTCACGATTGTTACAAGTCGCAACACGTAAGTCTAGCGCTGAACGAAACATGGAGAGGATAGCTGCGCATGGGTACTGTCGCGCACGAATTGAATTGCACCAATGCGACTGGAGAGACAATCAGCGCGTGCAAACGACGCACGCCGGCCCCGCAAACCGCTTAATACCCCACGATACCTTATTTTCGACTTATGCGCAATAACGGTCACCGCTAGACTTTCGTGCCGCTACTTACATTCGTCATTCTGTCCGTCGTGGTAATACTTTTAGCACCAGCAAAGGTGACGTTGCAGGGAGGCCGGCCTATGTCGCACCGTGATGGGCTATGTTGCTGTTGGTTTGCATACCTCATTTATTTTAGAATATATATTGTAACGTAAAGTCTACTAAGTAGTGTTTATTTATTTACATAGTTAAGAGTATAATTATCTAGCACTAGTCTCCGTTGAGACTGGTCGCCGTGACCGAAACTTAATCTGGAGGTTATTATTATAATTTTTCTTACCCACAGTCCAACCTTCTTTTCTAAACGAGAAGTTAAACTGCAAATCAAAATCACTGTAGGCGACTGTTGTGGATAGTTGCCTTGGCGTCCAGGTCTCTTCCTCTACAACCGGGATCTGACTGAACCTTGCGTAACGGCTTGCAGTTGTACTGTACACACCTGAGCAAAAAATATATTAATAGACTTTTTACGTGGTATAGACATATGCTGCAGCTACATTAGTTGTATAGTTGTAGCACGAATGGGTCGGCTCGAGCGGGGAAGGACCACGCTCTCACAGAATACAGCTTAATGCTGCCGTGTTTCGTATGGTGAGTGTAGAGAACCGGAGACCATTTTAACTGGAAACAAGGCATTCCATCTTAGTTCTCACGGGAGTTTACGCATCTGTATTTTATTCGTATTCAAGGATAGAGGTAGGTAGATGTCTATGGGCCACATTAACCACTTACCATCAGGTGGACTGTATGCTTAACTATAAAAAAAATGCTGTACGAGCCAGCTTATACACTTTTCATTCGTCAGCACTTTTAGTTTTACGCCGTTTATTCGAATTGCAAACAGTTCGTGATCGTGATATTATCATAGAGTCTGTTCGACGAGGTAATAAAAAAGTAGTGATTCTAAACTAAAAAAATTGCGGCCTGCTAATTATTTTTGCTATTAGATAGTAAAAAAGCCGCCGCGTCTTGACAACAGCTGCGAGCCTCATACCACAAAACTGTTGTCGCTACGATAAGCGACGGCGGTCACACAGATCGCGATATTTAAGCAACAGTCACAATTGCGAGACACTTTCTTATTTATTATATCTCGCCGAACAGACTGTGGAACTTTTAATATCAATAACGTTATCATGTTTTTATATCAATAAACACTCTTAGAAGAGAAGAACTCTTATTACCACTATTATTTTCTTAACAGCCCGTCAAACTTCACTGCTGGATGCATATATATGCTCCCTTTTTTTCAGTTACATTTCGGAGAGTGTGCGCAGGTATTGAATTTTATTCTTGCCTCCATATTTTATACATATGAGTCACATTAATTTTAGTTCTATTCAAAACAATCGTTGTGTTTGCTCAACTTTGTCGCCAATACAAAGTCGTGCTAATTTTACAGAAGTAAAGCTGAGGTGTAGTTCAGGAGGGGATTAACGCTCGCGGTAAGTTCATAACCAACCCTGGTTCGATACCCGTCGGCACCAATAATTGTTAATTGCAGTTTTAAGTGCTGATTTTTCACGTACTCGGCGAAGAAGGAAATCATTGTTAGAAAACCTGAATGTCTGAGAAATTAAAAAAATATATAAATAAAGTCCGCGAACACGCACAGAGCAGTGCGGTTGACATTTACTTGTCCTAAACCTGTCTTAGAAATGAGAGGAGGGCTGCGCCCAAGACTGGGACATACATTATGTCCCAATCAGTCAACAAACGAGCACAAACTGCACCTATGATGTAGATGCTGTAGCCTAAAGACACGTACTTTCCTCGTTAATTAAAGATTTAAATGCAGATGCGTTGTCAGCCTTGAGGACTAAGATCGAGTGCATATGGAGAGTGATAAGGGTGACAAACGAGCACACAGTCCACCCGATGATAAGCGGCTGCTACGGCCCATAGACATCCACATCCATCCTCGACTACGAATCAAAATGCAGATGCGTTGCCACCCGTGTGGACTTAGATGGAATATCTTGTTTCCAGTAAAAAGGATCTTCGGTTTTTATTACTTTCTATACGAATTGCAACAGCATTACGCTGATATTTCATGCTGTTATTGTGTGCGAGCGTGGTCCTTTCACGGATAGTCCGTGACCTAATCGCGCTGCAGCCATAATAGGCTAACTCAAAATTAAAAGTTAATTCTGGCAAAAATAATTTTTGTCTATAATGTTATAATAAATATAGCTAATAAAACCCTTGAACATATCAAAGGACGAAACTTTCGAAACGATATTATGCTATTAATTATTTTTTAAGTAAAAACTTTTTTAGAATCGTTGCGATTTGTAACTCGGCGAAACGAAAAAGCGACACTAAAAAGAGACAAACATATACATCCTTAGGATTTAGCCTGCGAGAGAAAGAGATAGAATATAGTATATTATCTCGGTCTCCTTTTCTGAAAGTTTCTCTTCTACCGCGCGTGAACTGCACACATGTTTAATTTTTAAATGGCAATACTTTTAAAGTTTTTTTTTCCGGAAGCAGGTTAGGAGCACTTACCAATAAAACGAAACAGTGCACCTCTACTTTCTATTGTTACACCTGGATTTGGAGAAGTAGAAGGTCGTCTTAACGGTGTGATTTTTAAACTTTGAATCTTGATAGGATTTGTTTTACCGGTATAAAATGCTACAACCGGTCCAGAGGTAAGTTGTTGAACAGCGGAATAAACCTCTTTGATAATTTTATCATGCCTCTTTAGTACATCAGTTCTGGTTTCATTTAATCCATCGACAAAATAAACATAATAATGCTTATAATTAGTGTCATACATTTTTATCTTCATATTTGTATCGCTTATATAGAAAATATTTAAATCGTGTAACTGGAACGTTTGCCTAAGTGTTTTGTAAGGTTCTATAACAGCTGGAAAATATTTAATTTGATTATGTAACACCCCATCTCTTAAGTGAGAGAATACAGTTCCCTTATTATCCTTTGTGCTAATATCCTCTGGAGAAAATGTATTTTCGATAAATATAATAGCGATATTGCTATTTTTAATAACATCTTGAACCACATCCGTGAAAAACGTAGTCGTTATTTTAGAGAACGGGTTTGGTTCTATCTTCAAATGATTCATAACGCCACCATAATCTAATAAAAACACTGGTACAACACCATGGTCTCCTTTACAGGATCCCAGTATTAAAAGGGAAGTTACTGAACAAATAAAACGCATATTTTTATTTAACCTAAAATATTCTATTGATTCTAAAGGAAATGACAAAAACAAAGAGAAATAAAAATTATTGATTTGACAAGTCCTTATTTTCTTTTAAAATTTCATGAAGAAGTTACACATTATTAGCTTAACCTTTTTCTTTTAAAAAGTGTTTGCCTTACTTAAGTACCTATTAAATGATTCGTTAATTCGAACTATGTTTGTTTTTGTTCTACTGTGATATTATCTATCTAGCATTAACATCTGAATATCTAGAAAGTTTCTAACGTTAGAGCTTAAAATATAAATAACTTAACTTCCAATGTGAGGACGAATAAAGCAAATTAAATTCTGTTTCAACTACTCTACACGATTGTAACGTTGTTCAGCGTCTCATAAAACTATTTTTTGATATACGACTTGTGTGTGATAGATGTTTAATTTCCATCTAATAAGGCAGAATATCATTTATTGGAGTTATAAAGCAACACGGGCCACCCGCGCGGTAGACCGGAGCGGAGAGGAGTCTTGTCCGACACTGAACATAACAAATAAAACAATAAAAATTTTATTAAAAAAATAACGTTTGCCCCCTCTCTATTAAGAAGATAGAGCAAACGAGCACGGCTCACCTGGTGGTAAGTGACTACCGCCGCCCATGAACAACTGCAACACCAACTTTTAGAAAGGAGTAAGCTCATTTCTTGAAGGTCCCAAGTTGGTCCGGAAAAATCACCGGTGGTAAACGATTCCACAAAGAGGTTGTAAGAGGAAGAAAACTCTTAGTGAAACGCATAGTGGTGGACTGTCAAACGTTCAGATGGCGTGGATGGTATCGTTAATTTTGTCGCGATGTGCGTTCGTGTAATTTGGTGAATTAATCCGAACAATTCCTCAGAGCACTCCCCATGGTAGATGCGATAAAAATGGAAAGGGATGCAATACCAGTGAATCGAGCCGATCAGAAAGAACTTGGTCGCCGACGATTCAAGCCGCTCTGTGCTAGATGCGGTCAAGTGAAAGGAACTGGCTCTAGGGTGCCCCCAATGATGAGAACAGTATTCCATGTGAGGTTGAACTTGCGCCTTGTAAAGTTGCAAGCGGTGTGCCGGCATGTAATACTATCCTGCTCTGCTGAGCAATCCCAGCTTTTTAAAGGCCAATTTAGTCTTTCCTTTCAAGTGACCACTAATCTGCAGCTCATTCGATATGTAGATGCCGAGGATCACGATGCTAGCTGAGGCAGCAAGGGGAGTGCCCCGATAATGAAGAGATATGACACATAGAGGAGCATCCATGCCATGGCTGGGAACTGCCTCCAATTGGTACAACAGAAGATGAAATAAAAAGTTTCATACCCTGAAGTACCACATCAGCGACAGAGACAGACAGAGTATAGAATGCAGACGTAATAAATAAAATTGTAGTAAGCTTTCACACACTTTTTTTTCTACCTTAAAACTTACCTTGCGTATTTTAAAATCACGATAACGTTAAAACATAATCTAATAAACGTGTTTAAAATCCATAATCATAAATAAACTTCTCCCTATTTTTTACCTATCTTCTGCTGCTGTTGACAACATTAGAAGAACTCCCATTTTTGAGCGTTTTGATAAAACTGGTGGTATTTTAAATAAATAAAATACGCGTGCTTTATTTATTTAAAATATTACCTTTCCTCATATCATTATTATGTTTAACGAAATGGATTTAGAAGATAGTAGAATTTTAATATTAAGGCAGTAGTAGTATTGTAGATGCAGTGACTATATTCTGGCAATGTTAATCATCCATAGACAAACAAATGCGTCAAACTAATCATATGATCACTTTTCACATGACCGATGGTCACTCGTCATTGCCTATTTCTTGTCGATTTATGACAATTTCTGGGCTAAAACTATTTTTTTAGTCCACAAACGTCCACTAGTTATAGTTAAGTAAATCGCAGACCATGGCGTACTGCCGTTTAGTGTTTTCTCTTTTAGTATTAAGTGTCGTACAAAGTTATGCATCCGAAGTACCAGTATTTCTGTGGGGAGACCTGGCGAAGACATCTTTAAAATCCAACCCCTTATCGTTGATCACTGCCGAAAATTTCGCGGAAACCCTTGTACAGGAGCTGGAAGGTGATCCTTTTACCGTGATATTTATGGAAGAGAACCTATCAGTGGAAGATTTTTCGCGTAAAAACGCCGAGGGTGAAACATACTTCCCCTATTTACGCGCCAACATTGGTGATTCGTTGTACTTACCGAATGTAGAGAACGCTGTACGTGTCCTTAACAACCTAGCGGACCCTGATAAGGTAGATCATGTTAAGTTATTAGAAAATGGGCTATCGGCTGAAATTGAGCCACAAAGTGGTAAATTCTTATTCATTAATCTTAAAGATGCTCAGGAAGGTGACTCTAGAGCCGATCTCCTGCGTCGTCACAACGACTTCATGGAAGACATGTTCACTAAGCTGAAAGAGCGTTATGAGAAAGTCGTAGCCATATACACAGCTCACAACCCTTCCTGGACAATTCCTGAATCTCATCTTCGTATCCGACGTCAGGCATCTTCCAGGAATAATGATTATAAATTGGATGGTCTTCGTCTCTATGTTAAGGAGCTTGTACTATCCGAAGGGAACAAAACAACACTTTTAGATAACATGGCCAGCAGTTCTACTGAGTTTAACAATACAATGAAGACCATGACTACAGTTATGAACTTTAACATGGACAACATTCAGCTCAATTTTGTTGAGAATAATGGTTATTGGACTTTTGGTGAGTATCTTATTTAAAAAAAAAATGTTGATAAGTCTTAAATTCTTGTGATCTCAGGTTTAAAAAATATTTGTTCGAAGTGTTTGAATAACATTTTTTGTCATAAAAGGAATCCCTTTTTTGTAGTGCCATGAAGTTTGACATTTCATAATGCATACCTAACATTTTAGCTTGTATATTTTTCAAGGGACTTGCTAAAATACTGTTTATACCCAAAATATATGATGATAATCTTAAACTACATTTTGTAATAATATGGTTGAATGTAGTATAATTCGGAATCACAAAACATTTTTAATGATTTTTGAAAGTATTTTATGTTATGACTAATCTTAGGTGTAAAAATAACCAACCCTGTAAGGCATCGGTCAGCAACAGGCGGACCGCGGTCCGCAAACAGACTGCGAAAGGTGGAACCTCGGACCGCCAAATATTGTAATGTATTGCATACTTGGTATGCAATACATTACAATCTTTTGCCTCTGCCTTGTTTAAAGTGCAGATTTCCATGGACTGCTGTAGCCACCTAACATTAGTTTGACTGTAAGTTCATTTGTCACTTCAGTTTTTAACCCCCGACGAAAACCGAGAAGGTGTTATATGTTTGTAGTGTGTATCTGTGTGTCTGTCTGTCGCATCCTAGCTCCTGAACAGATGATTCAATTTAGATAAAGTTGTTTTCGTTTGAAAGGTGTCTTAATCGAGAGTGTTCCTAGCTATGTTTCAAGAATATCTGTACAGCCGTTTGGAAGATCATCAGCTCTTCTTGTTTCGGGGGTTTTTTTTTTAATTTTTAATTTTAGTTATATAAAAAATAAATAAATATAGAAAATTATTTTTTTAACAAAGTCAAGTTTCTTTCAGAAACGGTGCTCCTCACCAGGTCCAACTTGAGTGAAATGCTGTACCCAAACCATGAGGTATACGCTGTGAACGGCTTCTCATATCGATGCGCGCAAAATGTGACCTTCTCTAGCATCAACGACACACAGCAGTACTCACTAACTTTTATGGATATGAAGGTAAGCTTTTATTGGTCTAAGGTCTTTGTTGACATGTTTAACCCTGGCACTACACTACGGGTTATTCGTCATCTCGCCCGACAAAAACTCGCCCGTTCGGGCGACTTGGCACCTTTCGAATTTACCTAATATTTCTGTCGTCAACTCGCACGCTCGTACAAAGTACAGCCAGGTAAAAAAAATTTAAACTAAATTTTAAAAATGACTTCAAATAAAACGACATTCTATTAAATCTTATAATAAAGCTACTGACTAACTATTGTTGATTTATATCCGAAATAGATATATATATACATATATATATATAGGTACATAAAAAATACAAAAATATTTCGGCCGAAAGAACAGCGCTCTTCTACACTGCCAAGCTCACAAAAGGATAGCGCTGTCTCTTTCTTTTTATCTTACCCTTTATCTCCATCGAAATCGTGGCGCATCGTGACGTCAGTCAGTAAAGCGTACATTACTGCGCCCGCGCATATTAAGCTGCGATATGGATTTTTTTTTTTTTATTAAAATGTTGGTGTTTTTAGTGTTTTTTATGTACGTTGGAGGTAAGTTTATTTAATTTATTTACATAGTGTTATTATGTCTTAATGAATTGCATTTTATTACTACTAGTTTTATTTTAGTACTGTCCTAACACAGTACTAACAGGGTTAAATATTTTAAAAAATATGGCTTTTGTGTCCGCCATCTTGTTTTGTCCTATATTGACTAGCATTGGAATGAACTATGAGACATAAATTAAATATTATAAATTATTTTAAGATTTTTTATGACTATAAGTAATTTTAAAAAAAGAAATTTATAAAAAAAAATGGTTTGCTTTGCCTAGATAATTATTCACGAATTGATTCAAAAAACCGGTTTCAATAATAACAATTTTTTTTTAGGAGTTGAATCACAATCTGATCCATCTAATTCTGGAACTGGTATGAAAACAATTGTTTCACAAAGAGGAAAGCCAGTACTTCTTCGTGCAGGCCATAAATATAATTTACATAGGAAAAATAAAGGATCCTGTGTTTGGAGATGCTCTAAACGAAGTATATGCAAAGCAAAGCTTACTATAAATACTAATAACTCTATCAAGCGGGAGGATAGACACAACCGTGAGCCGGATTTTCCGTCAAATGAGATGGAAGTAGAATTCAATGAGTGCATGGAAAAAGTGAAGACTGACTATACAGTAGGATTTTTGTATGTGACTGTACTAAGTTACCTCACATTTTTATGGTTGGGCGAGTAAGATTTAATGCCATGTCGTTTTATTTGAAGTCGTTTTTAAAATTTAGTTTAATTTTTTGTCCTGGCTGTACTTTGTACGAGCGTGCGAGTTGACGACATAAATATTAGGTAAATTCGAAAGGTGCCGCCAAGTCGCCCGAACGGGCGAGTTTTTGTCGGGCGAGATGACGAATAACCCGGCACTACAACGCGTAATTGCACTAACTTAGTCCACTGCGCAGGATGTGTTAACTCAATTCTTCAAATGTGTTGGCGCACAGTGCAGGACCAAGAAATTCGAAAGGTGCTAAGATGTTGAGCTCCGTAATAATGAAAAAACAAAAAAAAACAACAATCTCATTCATTCTCTCTCTCACTCACTCGCTGAATGAACAATGAGCCAACACAGTTCGTGCGCTGTGCGCTGTATGTGCTAAGTGCTCTGTGAGCGCGGAGTGCAAATGGTGCACGTTTTGCTCCTCACTTGGCGAGTTCCATTTTGTTGCACCATGGTAATTTTGAGTTAACACAATGAGCCAGTGCAGTAAATTACGCCTGACTTACTGACTTTAACGCAAGGAATTTTGCTGAGTTACCCCATGTCTAGGTGTTTGCTTATTATTTCTAGCCATTTCAGCATTTGCATCATAAATGGGTTGGCTGAACCGGAGAAGCACCATGCTCTTTTTTTCATTCGCGCATAAAGGCCTATCAAAAGACCGCTACCGAACATAGCTTTAACATTTTCCATAGTTGCCCTGTTTGACAGTTGTTTGAGTTGACTAGAGGCAGTTGGGTTGTTATCTAGAAGCACCCATTCCATCTACTGTTTTATTTCCCTCTGTCGTCTCTTACGAGGCCCATGGGATGAGGTGGGATATTGGATTCCCCAATGGTGCCACTACATGGTACCACTCACAGAATACCAGTCTAAAATAGAAGCATATAGCTGCTGTGTATCACATGGTGAGTGTAGAGAAGAGAGATAAAGCTGCAAGGCTTCTGTTTTAGTACTTAGAGATGACAACACCTCTATATTTTGATTCTTAATTGAGGATAGGTCTATGGACCACGGCATCCAGTTACCGTCGGGTGTGCTTGTTTGTCACCCTTAATTTGAAAAATAAAAATTAAAAGGTATTTGAATTTGTATTTAGGGTAGTTAATTAGTTTAATAGCATATGCTGCTATTTAGGACTACGAAAATAAGAAACATATTTTTACTAGCTCGCCAGGCAGACGTTGTTCTGCCCTTTCCAACGACCTTTCCTATAAATATGCTTAAATCCGAAAAATTTTGAGGGTCATTTAGCGGGATAAAAACCTGTCTCTCAAGTTGGACCAAAATGCACACAGTGTGCAAAATTTAATTGAAATCAGTTCAGTAGTTTAGAAGTCCATCGCAGACAAACAATGTGACACGTAATTTTTATATATAAAGATTAAGTACAAATACAGTATGACAAAAAAGTTTCCTTACCTTAAAAGTTTTATGTTCTCATTTGTAAAAATTTCTGATTTTTTGCTTTGTGACTTGTGTCTTTCTTGTTATTATAATTAAATTAATTTAAAAAAATTTATTCGATTTTTTTGGTCCTTAATTTGGACCTACCAATATCTTTATTTATTCCATCTTTATTAGAGTTGATTGGTAGAGAATGCCTTAGTTCATTAAGTCCGCCTTTTGTAACACCCAGTTGAAGGTGTGTTGCATAAAGGATAAATAAATAAAACATGTGTTAGTGTCGTGGACTACTCCGTTGAAACGTAGTTCCTTTCGTAGTATATTATTATTGATAAACATATTATATTATTGATTAACAAATACAAATAAATGAATTACTAGCGTTATGACTAAATACAAGGCGGCAGTAATTATTAACTATAAAATAAAATAATATTTCTTTTATGGCAAGAAAAAGTGCGAGGGAAATAGATATTATTCCATCTCGCTTCCTCATAGCCACCAAGGCCGTCTACACTACATCAGAAGGGGTCGTGACGGATAATTCTTACACTTTTTCTCGCCTAGCCCCCATCCCACAAATGCGTACCGTCCGAAAAGGAACTTCGTTCCAAAAAAGTTATTAATTTTAGCTGTTCCATTCCATTTTTAAATAAATGTATTAATTAAAATATAAATAATAATACTATAAGTACCGTGTAGCGGCGGTGTGAAAGAAACAGATTAGGGGATGGGCGGCAGCATATTCCTAATAACAATTTAAAAAAAAAACTGAGGTTGCCAAGTGTGGAAACTTTGGCAAATATCCCCCCTTGTAAGGCAAATGTTCAGCGGTGGACTTTAGTAAGCTGTCACGGTAAATATAACAGAATATGGAGAATCCATTACTCTATTTTGTCTTGTGGGTTTCGTAAGAGGCGACAGAGGGAAACTAAATAAGGAGATAGTCAATCTGTGGGATGTATGTTCAACACTGGACATTTAAAGGGCTGAAATGAATGAAAAAAAAATATCATTAACAGGTTGTAATGAATTAAATGATGAATTGATGAATTAATTATCATCGTCTCTCGATTTCACATGACCGTTTTACTCGTTACGAGGCATTTCCATCTTAGTCCTCAGGTGTGACAACACATATGCATTTTGATTATTTTTTTTTTTTTTTTTTTTTAAAAACGTTACCCCCACACTAGGATTTTCTCCTGGATCGTGGAGGCAGTTTACAAACACAAATTGCACAAGGACAAATATCCAAACCCGGAACAATTATTTGTAGGCCATACAAATACTTGTTCCGTGCGGGATTCGAACCCGCGGCCCCCAGCGCAGCAACTCATTGCTAAACCACTGCGCCACGAAGCCGTAAAAAAAATTAATCGAGGATAAATGTATGTGTCTATGGGCCACAGCATCCACTTACCATCTGGTGGTCTGTGTACTCGTTTTGTCACTCTCATTCTATAAAATGTCCTTTGAAAATTCTGGAACGAATTTTGAACTTAAGGCGGAGTGCCAATAATCCAATTTTAACATATTGATCGAAGAGAGGGAGAGATAGGGAGAGACAGAGACCACATATAGAAGCTTAAACTATTAAGATTCCAAGGTTCGGGAAATACGTGAGATTTGAAATAGTCGGGAATACATGGCGGCAGACTGGCTGCCGCCGTCGTAACGCGCGATCGATCTTTGACACGGACTCGTTTCGTTCACTAGGGTGTCCACAATTTTCACCTTTCCTTTACTAGTCTTCTTCTACCTATAAACAGGGCTTGCATTACTTAAACTTATGGCTTATAACGGTTAAAGATATGAAGTCATATCTTTTTATATGCGATATCTTAAAATTAAGATACACAAATTTTTCGGTACCGAAAAATAACGGAAAAATAACGGTACCGTTATTTTTGTCGCTACTTAATTATCAGCATAAAGGTTTTCTTTTTCTTATTTCATTAGTTTCCAATTAGATTCTTAGGAATTCTTGTTATCGTTGTATATCCCGTTCGATATTACTCATTACTGAAATAATTTCGGTTATGTGAAGGCTATTATATACCGGCGCCGTATCAGTGAGTTGCAACAGCTTTCGGTTTACCTTTAAAAAAATTCGATATCAATATTTTATACCGGTAACGTAAACTCATACCTTAACCGCAATCAAGCTCTGCCTATAACACTTAGAGTAAAGTTACAGCGAAAATACGGAGTAAGTTAGTCTGAATTTCACATGTCCTCAAAATATAATATCTCTCAGACGTGCAGAATTCCTCGTGATGTTTTTCTTTACCGTCGAGCACGTGGTGGTAAATCAACACCTAAAATTGAATGTTGCCTGCAGGAATCGAACTCTGCTTAGCCCTCGAGCTATCACGGATCTTGACACAGCTCGGGAACCTAAGCTAAACATTTCATGATGCACTTGCAATATGTAATAATTATAACCCGTGGGTGTCGTCACTTTTGAAAATTTGTCAAAGATATCCGGACATAACAACATATTCTGATCCAATAACTAACAATTTGTTTTTGCACAAATATTCACTCTGATTGAGAAATCATTATAAACTAATAAACTTAATTAGAAGCTCTTACGTGGTAGAGCCATGCTGCAGCTATATTAGTAATATAGCTGTAGCACGACTGGGTCGGCTCGACCGGTGAAGGACCATGCTCTCACAGAAAACCAGCGTAAAATAGCAGCTTAACGCTGCTGTATTTCGTATGGTGAGTGTAGAGAACCGGATACCCTTTTTACTGGCAAAGAGGCATTCCATCTTAGTCCTCACGGGTGACAACGCATCTGCATCTTGAGTCTTTATTGAGGATAGATGTAGATGTCTATGGGTCACAATAACCACTTACCATCAGGTGGACTGTGTGCTCGTTTGTCACCCTATCCTATAAAAATAATATTTTATGGGACAACTTCGTCAACACCCGGTTATTGATTGTCCCGAAATAAAAAAAAGGCTTGGTCAACTTACACTTGCGCTTTTTCAAAGTAACACGTCTTTAATCGAGATAAAGCTCGCGTGTGTTCAAAAAAGTAGGTTTACAAACGGTTATAAGACACGTTAAGTACATAAATTAAGGTTAATAATGTTTATGGTTAATGTATTTTATTACCAACAAGATAAATTGGCGAGACCGTGTAGTGGCAGTGTTGTTTTTTTATAGGATGGCGTGACAAACGAGCACACAATCCACCTGATGGTAAGTGGATGCTGTGGCCCATAGACATCTATGTCGTCTACGGGTCACAGTATCCACTTACCATTCGGTGGTCTGTGTGCTCGTTTGTCATCTTTCTATAAAAAAAAAACACATCTAACGACTAAACTGCTGATTTACCGCGTGCTTGCCGGTGAAGGAAAACCCTGTGAAGAATCCTTATCTGAGGATTAGTATATTTCGAGGTTTATGTGAAATAAACCATCACAACGAAGAGAAGCACGACGGACTATTCGCTCCATAACGTTCTCAGAAATAAGAGGGTGGGCCTATGCCCAGCAGTGGGACGTATGTATATATTTAACTGTAATTTACCGTTGCAGCCTATTAAATTCCACTACTGAAAATAGGACTCCCTATAGATTACCTTATAGGGGATATTTGCTGTAGTTGGGGTTCGGGACCGGGATCGGATGCGGGTGAGAATACCCACTACTCCAAATCTTCCCGTGGGTGTCGTAAGAGGCGACAGAGGGAAACTGAGGCAGAAGATGGGCAGCAGCATCTTTCTGATAACAGTAAAACAACAATAAAAAAACTGCGGTTGCCAACCCGCTCGCCAAGCGTGGTAACTATGGCAATATACCTCACAATGAATAAAATTACGAAGAGACCGCCCCCAATCCCCGGCGGCCCCACTATTCCTGGCTACTATGGCGACCATAGTAACGGCGGGTCAGGGGGTGCTAAGAATCTCCGGTGGATGTTCGGTTGCCACCTACGACGACTCGACCTCGCAACTTATAACGCATGCACCCTGACGACTGACGAGAAGATCCTGGAGCTGGAAGAAGAGATCCGAGGTCCGAAGAGAGGGAGAGGACACGGTAATCCTCGAATCCGGTAACTTATTCTATCACCGGGAGGACGACCATCTGTCCCAAGGAGGTGTCGGATTTATCGTTCACAAGTCTCGTAAACAACGTTGTAAAGATTGGGAGTGTGTCGACGACCTTATACTCAGAATCACCAAACAGTATTCGCTGATGGTCATACAGGTTTACGCACCAACCTCGGCACACCCCTATGAGGAGGTGGAGGAAATGTATGGGGATATCTTTTAGAGCCTTGCATTCCTCCAAAACCCACTATAGGGTGTTAATGGGAGACTTCAATGCAAAACTAGGCACAAGAGAGAGCGGTGAGCTGAAAGTAGGGAAATTCGGAATAGGGCAATGGAACCCAAGAGGTCAGCAGCTGGTCGACTTCATGGAGAAAGGGGAACTCTTTATGATGAATACCTACGACTAGGAATGGTATGGGGTAATGGATATTCTTACACCGCCACCACACTGGTAACAGTAACTTACTTTACTTTAATGCACTGTGGTACGTTGTTACAGGTGCAGCCGTTCTTCAAAAACACCAACGAATCCGAGATGGTCTTCGGGGATTCATTTAACTGCGTCGGTTTCTTCTCAGTACCAATATGGTCTGGTCTGTTCGTGGTATTTATACTCCTCGCAATCACATTCTATGGAATCATGATGATGATGGACATTCGCACCATGGACCGGTTCGATGATCCTAAAGGAAAGACTATCACCATCAATACATCTGAGTAGATGTGGACAGCTCTAGTGTGACCGTGACCTTACCCCGTATTTTATTTCAATGTATGCATTTTTTACTCGAAAGTTTTATAATATGCAGTTTACAGGTCGTTAACTGGTCACACTACATCTGTCAAATTGATAAATATAATGAAACCATAGAGCTCAAAATCTATATTTAAAAAAAATGTAGTCTTGTGAAAAAAATAACGCAAAATTAATTCAGATCTTAAATGAAATTATAATTTTATATAACCACAAAATAAATTATAACCACTAAATACACCAATTAGTGTAAGTTTAATTTATATATGCAATGTTTTGTTTTAATATCGTGCTATTTTTCACTAGTACGTAACAGATAGTAAATACCTAATATTGTATAAAAAGCTTATACTATTTAAAAAGAGGAACAATTTTATATAATCTGTATAGAAACCGACAACGTGCCTATTTTTCAAATAATAAAAAGTAAGATATCGTTTATGTGAATGTATAGGTTTGATTGTAGGTAAATGGTTGACGTTTTGAAATCCGACAAAATGAGAATAATGATACCGACTTTAGAGCATTTCAGCAATTAAAAAAGTACGTATATACGTAATATAGCTACTATGGTTATCCACTGAATTTAAATTTTGGCGCCATTTATTTTACTCCTCAAAACAAAAAACTATTGTATAGTTCTTTTTATAAATTTTTAAACAAATGAAATGCTCTAAAATGCAAGAGACGTTTCTTTGACATTAACGTCTATATTTTAAGAACTGTAAATTAAATCGGTTATTTTTGTTGTTTCCCAGTTTGCACATTTTACACGGTCGGTAGAATGCTTCATATGAAATTGCCTTAACAATTCCCGAGTAAACACAAAAGTCTGACGCTTGACGTGTGTTTGTTTGCATTTTCAATAAATCAGAGCTTCAAATTAATATAATGCATAAATATACTAGTTGTAATTATTGCGAATAATAATTGTTAATGAGAAGTTTAATACGAAATCGAGAGCCCTCCATGCTAGTGCCAACTCATATTTCATTCCAATGTCGAATAAAAAAAACTCTATGGTGAACTGTTTGGAATATTTTTAAGAGTTTTCCCGTAAAGTAAGTGACCTTTGGTTAAGTCCGTCACATGAAGGTTTTAGATTTGTTATTATAAAAAAATCGCCATTCATAGACAATATTTATTGTCATTATTTTCTGTTTTCTTGTTTAATCTTAACTTAGACATTTATAAGAATAACATTTTATAATTTTTATTGTAACAAATTTAAAAAAAAATCAAGTGATGAGACTTAGGTTAAGAAATCATATTTATCAATTATTTCCATGTGAATATTGTTCGATATTTTCACGCTTTACTTTATTTTACTTCATTGTTATTTTTGAACGCGTATTAAAATTATGGACCATTTTTTTCTTTTATTACAAACGTCTAATGTTCCTAATGTATGGAGCAATGGTTTATAAAAACAATTTTATAGTCTGTGAATTAATTATGTATATTAAAATATTAAATAGAAATGTTGAAATAAAGCTTAAACTTTATGTTTTGTGTTTTGTTTTAGAATAATAATTATATGAAACAACTAGCTGGCCAGGCACTTTCCTTTGCCCTCTAAAAATATCTCAAAATTCGCAATAAAAATGTTGACGGTCACATAGGCGGAAAAAACTATCCTATCTGTCACGTTGGAGCAAGAAATACACATTTACATAAATTAAAATTAAAAATCTACAACCGGCTTCAATATATTATATTATTAAGGATAACTCAAAAACTATTGGTCAGACCTTGATCCAATTTATATGGGACCACATGAGAAGCACCAGTTTTCAACTAAAAAAAGAATCATCGAAATCGGTTCACCCAGAAAAAATTTATGAGGTAACTCACATGAAAAAAAGAAGAAAAACACATACAGTCGAATTGAGTACCGTCTCCTTTTTGAAGTCAGTAGTAACCATTCAATTAACCTCAGACTAAATATCTAGACCGATGACGGGCACAAGACGTGTTATTTACTCATTTCTAGTGACCCGACCATTCAAGTATTGATACGTCTTACGAATCAGCTCATTCGGGTCGATCATTCAAATGGATCATTTCGAGTTTAGTACTCTGTGATCTATGAGACCCGCTCGATAATGTCGGTCGTCGGTAATTACTATACTACGTAGTACTATTATTTATTCTGTGACTATTCTCTGTTCGTAGGTCCTGTCAATCGTTTGTTTAGCAAAAAAATGTAATAAAAAAAAACCGGCCAAGTGCGAGTCGAACTCGCGCACTGAGGGTTCCGAACTAATCCGTAGGTATATAAGTTTAAAATTAATAAAATATTTTTATTATGTGATGTAACTAAAAATTTATGCTTTTCGCAATTTTTCCTTTATCTGTGCTATAAAACGTTGCTTCATACAAAATTTCAAGATTCTGAGTTCACGGGAAGTACCCTGTAGGTTTTGATTCCCTTGCGAATGTCGAAAATTTGCGCCATAAACGGCTGTATCTTTTGATTGCGTTGGCCTAGAAGTTTGATATTGTCACAGCTCCAAAGGACAGTAGACCTGAGTATTTGATATGAATTTTAGCTTGATACAACCTCCACGCATTCCTGAGAAAGAGGGTCTTGACAGACAGACAGACGGATGGACAACAAAGTGATCCTATAAGGGTTCCGTTTTTTCCTTTTGAGGTACGGAACCCTAAAAATTATCAATACTATGATGCGAGACGGGTCAAATGAACGAATCGTTCACGATTGACCTATGTTGGGCATCGGCGACGACGCCCTTTAGACATGTGATGACATGACATGTGTCAATAGTACCTAGTAGCATGGGCGTCAGCCGCCCGGAGCTAAAGCCAAAAATCTCTTTTCCCACAAGTTCCGAAAGTACAGTTTTAATATAAGATCTTACAATATTTATTTATTATTTATAGTGTCCGACCGAAGGTCGATTTCTGCCCGAAGTCGAAGTTGAAGCCGATTAATCGGATATCGCCACAACCTTCGTCCGAAGCCGAAAGCTTAAAAACTTAATGATTTTAACACTTAATTTAAAGGTTTATATTTACTGTATAATACAAAAGGTAATTTTAATCATCTCTAGTTGATCGAGTGCATTCCATCTTAGTCCTCACGGGTGACAACGCATCTACATTTTGATTTGTAACAGAGGATAGATGTAGATGTCTATGGGCCGCAGCAACCACTTACCATCAGGTGGAATGTGTGCTCGTTTGTCACCCTTATCCTATAAAAAAAAATTAAATATTTTGTACTTCAATATAAATTATTAAAGATAACTCAAAAAATATTGGTCACACCTTAATCAAATTTACACGGGACCAAAGGAAAAGCATCAGCTTTCAAATAAAAAAAAAGAATCATCGGAATCGGTTCACCTAGAAAAAAGTTATGAGCTAACACAAATAAAAAAAGAACGAATTGAGTACCTCCTCCTTTTTGAAGTTAAAGAACAAGGAGGTGATGGCGATAGACCTGTAGTTGGACGGGTCTTAGCGGTTGCCTTTTTTAGGGAGCAGGTGGCCCATAGCTGTCTTCCCTGAATTCGGGACTACGCCTTGGGAGTACAACAACTCACTTTGAGGAACTCCATAAGGTCCACTCGACTTGCTGACGTCCAGGGAGAATAGTGCTTTGCGAACCGAGCGCTGTGTAAACCGCACATCCGGCATGGAGCACTCACACCGCGGGGTGGTCGGCAGTGTGTTCCCCCCGTCATCTAGAGTCAAGTTGGACGCTAAGAGAGAGCCTAACAAATCGGCTTTCTCCTTTGCGGCGTGGGCCAGTGAGTCGTCCTCTCTGTGCAGAGATGGAAGACATGGCTGACAGAAGTTCCCTTGAACAGCTTTGGTGAGAGACCAGAATTCACGGGTTCCCGAAGGAAGGTGAACTAGCTTCTCGCCAATTCTGCCAATGTGCTCAGACCTTGCTTTGGCAATGACTCTTTTGAAGGACCTGGAGACGGAATTATACTTCTTTATAAGAGCGCTGGTGTTTACATTCCGGGACGTTGATGCGTCAGCCCAGGCCCGGAAGCACTCCTGCTTATAGCGTGATTCTATTTTACAGGAACGACCAAACCATGGCTGAGATCTGTCTACAATGGGCAAAACAGACTTACTTGAAAAAGTATACTTACCTATTGTATTCCTTGGGATAGTTAAAGTATGATATATTTTTATTTTTTCTAGTATTTATCATACACACAGTACAATAAACAACCATTATTAATAATACCACATTTTTATATTAAAATATTCAAACTGGCAACTAACAAAACAAACAACGTGTGTCGGACTAACCCTGAGATTGTTGTCCACTGGTTGTGCCAGCGTAACCGGTTTTTTCCAGCTTCGCCGCATACGCGACAAGCGGCCAGTGGCTATGCACACATGCCCCGTGTACTTGTAGTAGTGCAACCGATTTACTTGTGGCGGCGCTGTCGTCGCGCCACAAGCGAAACACATCGAAGCCTAAATCGCGCTATCAAAGTTCCGAAATTAAAGCAGCATATATAGAATAGCTCCGAACTACCAATCGGAGCGTTGGCCACTCCCCGGGCAGAACACCCGGCGGGAGATCTCCCCTTTTCCTTCCACCCCGCTACAGTGGTGACCAACCGACGTGATATGAACACGCAACCAATCAACCTTCGGAAACTACAACTTCAAAACCTTCGTCATCGTCCCCAAGTACCTACCCCATTCTTTCGCTCCCGAGCAGATATTGTCTGCAGTCTTCACATTCTGCAAGCCATCTAGCTTTACAAAAGGTTCAACGCAGCACTGGAATAATAATGCTTCCTGTTCCTTCAAGCTACTCTCTGCGCTACAGTGTTCGGCACGGCTCTGAGCCTTACTGCTCGCCATTGCTTGACGGCATTCTCGCAGATTACTTGCCTTCTTCTCGACTCACCGCAGACTACAAGGCAATCCCTGGCACTTGCTCCGGCTCATCGTTCTCACCGGCATCACTTGCAAGTGCGTAGTACGGCATGCATTACACACCGGCATATCATTCGCACCTGCGTCACTTGCCCTTACGCACACAGCATGCATTCCCCACCGGCATTAAGGACGCACCGGCAATCGGACTGCACTATCGACATCCGGTCTGAGCAGGGGGGTGATGTGGCGGCGCTTTCGTCGCGCCACAAGCGAAACACATCGAAGCCTAAATCGCGCTATCAAAGTTCCGAAATTAAAGCAGCATATATAGAATAGCTCCGAACTACCAATCGGAGCGTTGGCCGCTCCCCGGGCAGAACACCTTGCCCGGCGGGAGATCTCCCCTTTTCCTTCCACCAACTACATACTCATGTGCTGGTGCTGACAGAATAACAACGATTAACACCGCCTCTATACGGTAAGTCAAGTCAATATGTTTGAGTTAAACTCCTTTTTTTGTTTTACATGGGGAAATGTCTTCGCATACCGGCTCGCGGGGGTTAAAGTGTCGGACTGGCACCGACTAAAACCCAATGGTGTTCCACCTACGTCGCATACTGGCAGGGCTACGGGAATGCTTATGCACACATCCGCGGCTCCACCAGCACCGGCCGTCCCATGGCGGTTCCTCATCGGGAGAGGACTACTTCTACCTCATCTCCTTCTCGGGTAAGGTGTACCAGAACACACCCTCCTGACACATGCGCTCTCATCCGCGACCTCCAACTTCACCTGCGCAACGGACGTACCCGTGTAAGATGCGCCAAGGCCTTGGGGCCAAGAAAAACGAGCACTCAGAAGCACTAGCCTTCCTGAATCCAGCGGTGAATTTGGTCTATGGCTCCGCCGCCAACTAAGATTCGGCTGCGGTAGGAGATTGGCGCCTCGGAATACCGACACTCCTCTCCTTCCGCAGCCCTACCACCACCGCATCAACTGTGTGGCCCCGTCAGCGTTGTAGAGGTCAGGGCAAGTGGGGAATTGCCATACCAACACTCCTCCTTCTCCGTGACTCCACTTCAGCTGCAGTGGTAGAGGGAGATGGCTCCCTTATCGCCGCTGCTCACCAACACACATCCGAAGTAAGCTCACAGAGCCAATTCGGAGTGGTCACCTCGGGCCGCCCTACACCACGGGCCAGCCATGGTTCCTCTTAATTCACCGCGGGCGACCAAGCCCCCCCCCCCCCCCCCCCCCCCGCCACGACAAGGCGGGAGCCTGTTCGGGAGGGATGACTTAGACTCTTGTCTATGGATGCGTTGTCATCTTCGAGGATTAAGGTGGAATACGACATTTCAGAATGACACAGCTGTTGAACGGGCGAGTATATGCCACGGTATTTATGTTACGCGGTTGCCTTAAGCGCAAAACGCGTATGTATGTTCTATAACGCGCCTAAAATTCAAAAGTCCAACGTTTTATCGCATAAAATCGTATCTAACAATCATAATGAACATGTTATAAATTATATAAAAAGCACATTGTCATCTCTCTGACAAATCATTGTTGAACTTGTGGCGGGTGGAAGGAAAAGGGGAGATCTCCCGTGTTCTGCCCGGGGAGCGGCCAATACCACTCGGAAGTGGTAGTTCGGAGCTATTCTATATATTAAACTGTTTTAACTTCGGAACTTTGTTAGTGCGATTTAGGCTTCGATGTGTTTCGCTTGTGGCGCGATGACAGCGCCGCCACATCACTCCCCTGCTCAGACCGGAGGAGCGATAGGGCAGTCTGATTGCCGATGCGTCCTTAAAGCATGCTGTGTGCGTAAGGGCAAGTGACGCCGGTGCGAACGATATGCCGGTGTGTAATGCATGCCGTACTACGCACTTGCGAGTTTTGCCGCTGAGAACAATGAGCCGGAGCAAGTGCCAGGGATTGCCTTGTAGTCTGCGGTGAGTCGAGAAGAAGGCAAGTAATCTGCGAGAGTGCCGAGAAGCAGAGGCGAGCAGTAAGGTTCAGAGCCATGCCGAACACTGTAGCGCAGAGAGTAGCTTGAAAGAAAGGAAGCATTATTATTCCAGTGCTGCGATGAACCTTTGTAAAGCTAGATGGCTTGCAGAATGTGAAGAATGCAGACAATATCGAGAGCGAATGAATGGGGTCCTTGAGGACGATGACGAAGGTTTTTTTTGAAGTTGTATTTTCCGAAGGTTATTGGTTGCGTGTTCATATCACGTCGGGGTCACCATTGTGGCGGGTGGAAGGAAAAGGGGAGATCGCCCGCCGCGCAAGGTGTTCTGCCCGGGAAGCGGCCAACGCTCCGAGTGGTAGTTCGGAGCTATTCTATATATTATACTGTTTTAACTTCGGAACTTTGTTAGCGCGATTTAGGCTTCGATGTGTTTCGCTTGTGGCTCGACGATAGCGCCGCCACAAACTTATTAATTTTTTAAATCGATTAATTGATATTTTTACATAAAAAGTGGTTTTAGTAGCTTATGGTGTAGATTTATCAAGTCCGCATGGAGTGGTAAACACGATAGCTTGAATATATCAATTGTTTAACTCAATCTATTTTGTAATCTCTTCAACTATCATGTGGGAAACCAGGGAATGTAAATGCGGGTTTCATTTTCTTTTGTTTAGTTATAATTAATTCTTTTCGGCGTAGAAATCCGAAATTTTAGGTGTTTTAGCAGCCTTGTAATACTTTATATTACTAAATAGACTGCCTCACTCATTCACTTCGGCGACAACCGCCGTCGCGAGTTTTTACGTGGTAGAGCCATGCTGCAGCTATATTAGTAGTATAGTTGTAGCACGAATGGGTCGGCTCGACCGGGAAGGACCACGCTCTCACAGTAAACCAGCGTAAAATAGCAGCTTAACGCCGCTGTGTTTCGTATGGTGAGTGTAGAGAACCGGAGACCCTTTTTACTGGCAAAGAGGCATTCCATCTTAGCCCTCACGGGTGACAACGCATCTGCATTTTGATTCGTAATCGAGAAAAGATGTAGATGTCTATGATTCACAGTAACCACTTATAGTTCTCATTCACCAAAAATTTGACAAAGTTACAGGTTACAGGTTACAATTACAGATATAAATAAATAAAAAACAGACTAAAAATTATAATTTTATTTTTAAGCTTAGGCAAAGGTAATATTGCCATAAATCCAATATTTTTTTCCTTTAACTTTAAAAACTATAAACAGAAGTGTCGTATCCGGCAGCAGCGACATTCATGTCTATCCAGTCTCGCAGACCTGCCACGTCGACGTAAACACCTGGAGTGCCATCCTCTCCGCATCCGATACCCCAAGCTACCATGCCACTTTGCATGTACCGTTCCTTTTGGAACTGTAAATTGAACATACTTATATTGTATCGAAAAAACTGTTTTTACCTGCATTAATGGGCGATTAGGCCTCACTATCCTGCTTAACTTTCTATATCCTATGTTTGTCGTGTAATGTGGTCGCGACGTAAGAGATTCATAAGAGGACTGCGGGCTATGCCAGCAAAATCTTACGGCTTTCGATCAGACCGTCAAATATTAAGACCGGAGAGGGGACGCGCAGCAGATCAAGCGTCTCAGCTTACATTAAGTCTCTCTTTATCTGTTGCTAGCTAGAGACATTTCCGAGGTAGAGTCGCGGGGAGGAGTGTTCGGATGTAGACGCGTCAGTCGTATATTTGCTAATCTGGCGGTGCCTTATCGTTGATGTGACAGTGGTGAGGCGGGAGGGGGGCGGGAAGGGATCCACAGCTGCTTCCAGGCACCCGTTTTTAATCCCCAACACAAAGAGAGGGCTGTTATAAGTTTAACTCGTGGTGGCCGCATACAGAGCTAAATATCTCGGCACGCCGACGATAACGAAATATTGTTTATGGGCGCGTCGCCAACAATCTCTCCCCTGTGCGTCATCACCATCATTTGGGAGGCGTTGCGGGTACCAGGACTATTATTCTGGATGTAGGTCTCCTCAAGATACCTGTGCAAGTAATGACGTCAACCACTCTAGTGTGACCGTCTTGTCCCGGTAGCGTCCTATGAATCTTGTCTTTCAGCCACGTATTTCGTGGCAACGAATGATCTATTATCAAGACAATATCGCCATTTTTCGGTTCCATGAATTTTCCGTTATCGATATACGAGGTATTACAGTACAACTCAATACCTCAAACTCTCAAAGAACTTTGGTGAGGGATCTACCTCACCAAAGTTCTTTGACAAGATTTCATGGCTTAAAAATTCGCGATATTTATGTCTATATGCAAAATACGTGCTTCGTGGTAGATTTGCGGAGTATAGCATGTACGCGGTAGAGCCACGCTGCTATATTATAGTTGTAGCATGAATGGGTTGGTGAGGTTGGGGAGGACCACACTCTTACTGGATACCATCGAAAAATAGCAGCTTAATGCTGCTGTGTTTCGTACGCACCGGAGACCCTTTTTACTGGAAACGAGGGATTCCATCTTAGCCCTTACGGGTGACGACGCATCTGCATTTTGATTTGTAATAGAGGATAGATGTAGATGTCTATGGGCCGCAACAACCACTTACCATCAGGTGCACTGTGTGCTCGTTAGTCAGCTATATTCTATATAAAAAAATAGCCAGCCGTAAACTAAGGTTTAACGTGTGTATCGGTGTGTCTGTTTAAGGCATCATAGCGCCCAAACGGATGAACTGATTTCGATTTTGTTTAAAATATGACTTGATCGAGAGCATGAGAGCTATATTTCAAGAAAATCTATTCAGCCATTCGAAAATTATCAGCTCTTTTCTAGTTTTTTTAGTAAATAAGATAACTTCCAATAGTAATAACAAAAAAGAACTCTAAAAAGTAAAGAAAAAGAACACCCATTCACTTATTACTTTCAAACACGGCGGATTAATAAGTAATGTAATAGGTAATGGGCCGGCCATAATATAGTTCGAAGAACCGACAAGCGACGGGGAAGAATGATTCTCGAGTGGCAGCCTCGTGTCGGGCAGGTGAAGTGTAGTGCGTCCCCCCACTAGATGGAGTGACGACCTGGTGAGACTTGCAGGAAGTCGATAGATGCAGGTGGCTCAGGACCGTGTTTTGTGGCATTCCTTGGGGAGGCCTATGTTCAGCAGTGGACTTGTGAAGGGCTGTAAAGATGATGAAAATGGTAATATCGCCTAGCCCCCCTCCACTAACTCCGTACCGTCCGACAAAGAACTTCGTTCCAATACCTCAATAGGGCACACCAGTGGTGATCCGCCATCTCCGTTGCACGTGTCCTTGTCTCGTTCCCCTCCAGCGCAAATAAAGCTCGAGTGCAGGTTGAAGTGGCGGCCTAGGCGGGTACGACGTAGCTGCCTCTGGCAGACCTGACGGTCTACAATTGGCAGATCTATCTGTGATAAGATCGAGGACCTTTCTTTAAAATTATTAACTTCTATTGTATACAAAACCTTATAATAATTATAAAACTTTTAAAAATTAAAAATCTAATTCAAAGAATTAAAAAGAATATAATCATCGAATACGTTTGTTGTGGTAAAGAATACTGTGTAGTGGCGGTGTAAGTATATCCAGTACTCCTTGTCATCCCGTAAGAAGTGAAAGAGGGAAACAAATCAGGAGATGGGCAACACGGCGTCGTTCTGAGGCAGACGTTGTTCTGACCTCTCCGACGACCCTGTGTCGTATAAAAATTCTTAAATTCGTAATAAAAAATATTGAGGGTCTCTTATAGGGATAAAAACTATACTATTTCTCAAGTAGAACAAAACTGCACACAGTATGCAAAATTTCATTGAAATCAGTTCAGTAGTTTAGGAGTTCATCGCGGACAGACAATGTGACACGTAATTTTATATATGTGTATATATATATATATATATATATATATCTATATATATATATATATATATATATATATATATACCCGTGAGGACTAAGATGGAACGCCAGCCGCCGCCGGATTATTTTAGTTATAAGTACCGTATATACTTTCATATGCATATAGTAAAAAGCTGTTATTTCGACATTACAAACACTTCAATTTTATTTATGGGTTTAGAGTATAGACTACAGATCCGTCCGGGTTTCGCCTGGATAAGATTCTATTAATGTAGTCTTATTTAGATTTAAGATTGTCAATAACTATTTATGTTATCAATTTTTCGTTTTTCTTAAAAAAAAAGAAAAAGAAAAAACATCTTTTGTTTTTCATAAAATATAGCCTAGATCCCACCGGGCACTGCTTTCTATCTGTTTGTCATTACAATCGGTTCAGCCATTCCGAAGATTAGTCCGGACAGACAGACATACAAAAATTAAAACTAACCTTTTTGAGTATGACTTGGTATTGGCCCGCCTGTCCGTACTTGTCCTTCCCCCAGCCGGAGGCAAAGCATCTTGTGCCGGCGGGTACTCGTTGCCGAGGCGATGGCAGACACGCAAGCCCCACGTTGGGCGCCAAAATCATCGGAAAGTTGAGAAACAGCAAAGCGATGTCGTAGTACAAATTTTCTGCAAAAAAAAACGGAATTGAGGAGGTATAAGGGTGCGGGGTGCAGGGTGCGGACTGCGAACTCATAAGGTCTTGGGTTCGAAACCGCCATTCGACTGTCGTGAACATTTTGAGCTTACCGGTATTGGTTACACGGAATAGCAGTATTGTGAAAGGCATTGCTAGTTTTTTAACAAAAGAGAGAAGACGTTACGCTTTACTAATGATGATAGAATTAGTTAAGTGTCAGTGAAAATTGACTTAAACTGGAGGACATTTTGTTTGAATTCCGCTAAAAGTGTTCATGGTTTTACTATCTAAAATATTTCAATAAAGAATATCATATACAGTATTATTTTGCAATAACCGGCATTTGGAGAGAAGGTTCAGAATAAGTAATATAGGCAAATGGTGAAGAAAAATTAATTAAAAAAAAATCTCAAACATTCTGTCCTTTTTTATCTTTTAAATTGAAAAGCGTAGTAACATATTATTTTAACTCATTGTCATTCATAAATATCTAGCGCCTACAATTTTACTACGCACGCACACATATGTATGGGTCGATTGTAATTGTGAAATTGTGAATGTTGTGAATTGAATCGCACACAGAGGAGCGCGCGTACGTGTAGTCGTTGCCCATAAATCACATTCAATTTGGGATCTTAACATAGCTATGTACTCTCGTCCTGACAATGAAATATACTGTGTTAACATGAGCTCCATTGGTCAAATTTACAAAACAGAAACATATATTGCGTGAATATAACCTCCATTGGTCAAGTTACACGATTACTAACAGATACATTAACGATTACATATAAAGACTAACGAAATGACCCGGTTTCGCTTGGGTAAGATCTATTAGACGTTATTTAGATTTAGGATAATCATAAACTATTTATTTTATAAATTTTTCGATTTGTCAAATAAAAGCTATATAAAAGATAGACCCATAGCGTTGATCACTCCTGACATCTATCTCTTCTGTCTCTATCTGTTTGTAACGTTTCATTACAATCGGTACTGTCATTCCGAAGCTTAACCCGGACAGACAGACAGACAGTATTTTTTTAAAATAATGGTTATTCATATCTTAATGGCATGCAAATAATCACTTCAGCTTAATAAAAGGCAGTTATTTCGATATTACATATAGGCAATAATGATTTGTTATATTTACGCGAATACTACACAATAAATGAAACTTATTTTACGGATTTTATCGTGTTCAATTTTAACTTTTAAAGTCCCGACGTTTTGGGTGCTTTATTTGACCTCCCGATGTCATAGTTAGACCGGCTTGAACGTAGGAAGGTAGTTTTTGAATATTAAATTATGGTTAGATCTATAGTCTGTTCGCTAAGATAGTGTCGGTACACCCGGAGGCGTACTTTTTAGTTTGCTTTTGTTTTAGTATTATTTATTGTGTTTGTTAAATAAATATTTTTCTATTCTAAGAATAAATATAAATATATAATAAAAACATTATTCTGTAATATTATTATTATTATTGTAATAAAATACGAATATAAATAATAATGACAAGTTAGGTAGCAAATAACCTTTCACTATGGAGCTTCGTTTTAAAATGTAAAATTTTCCTGCGGGTGTACGACGCACGCAGTGACCTTTGATGTTGCGGTGGCGCCTTTGACAATATGCGGCACGTGCACAGGCGGTACGACACAAAGGCGGCCGTATTTAAGCGAACAGGCTATATTTAGAATGAGCTTACAGAATCTTGATATCTTGTAGTGGTATGCTTGGGTTTGGATTTAATTTTATTAATTATAGGATCCCAAGCAGGTGGTAGCACCTATCCATCTTCTCTATTAAAATTAGGATGTTTTTTTTTAAATTTCAAATAGCTTCGTGTATCGTTAGTATCCTATCAATAGTTTCAGTTACAGACAGACACTTCAATTTTATTTATACATATGTGTATATAGATATAGATATATTATGAAAAGACTCACTGTTATTAAAGTTTTTATGGACTACGGTCTTCACAACTTCCCGATCTTGGTGGGGATACGGTTCCTTGTTGGTCTGCGTATCCCACTCCCCGGCGCGGACGAACAGCCGCCTGGTCTCGACCACGTAGTGCGCCGTGGTCAGGACCACATTCGGGTGGATCAAGGAGCCACCACCCACGTAGACGTTCATGTTTTGCCCCGATGGGTTGTTTTCGTTGATGAAGAGTGGTTCTGTCCTGATTAAAGTAAATGGATGTTGTGGCCCATATACATAAACATCTATCCTCGATTACGAATCAAAGTGCAGATGCGTTGTCATCCGTGAGGACTAAGATGGAATGCCTCGTTTCCAGTAAAAATGGTCTCCGTTCTACACTCACCATATGAAACATAGTATCATTAAGCTGCCATTTCACGATGGTTCTGTGAGAGCGTGGTCCTTCTCTTTTGAACCGACCCATTCGAGTTACACCCATTATATAGCTGCAGCATGGATCTACCACGTAAAATATAGATAAAAAATTATAAGAGCCATGGTAGCTTTGGGATTAAGTTCTCGCTTTATACTTCACAGTAGGGTTCAATCCCCGCCGCATTGGTGCCGGCGGAAATTGTTAGTTACAATTTTAAGTGCTGATTTACTACGTGTTTGGCGGTGAAGGAGAACATTGTGAGGAAACCCAGCCCAGGGGTGAGATGCACATATTGGAATGAAGTTCTTTATCGGACGGTGCGGATTTGGCAGACGGGGGCTAGGCGACAAAAAGTGTAAGATTTTTCCGTCACGATCTCTTCTGACGCAGTGTAGGCGGCCTTGGCGGCTGTAAGGAAGCGAGATGGAATAATCCATAATCATTATCCAATCCATCTCCCTCGCACTTTTTCTTATTTTGCCATAAAAGAAATATTATTTTATTTTGAATGACGCTTCATTTTGATAGACGCTAGTAATTCATTTATTTGTATTTGTTAATCAATAATATAATACGTTTATCAATAATATTATACTATACGAAAGGAACTTCGTTCCAACCGAGTGTTCCACGACACTCACGCATGTTTTTTTAACTTGGATTGATGACTTATGTTGAGTTAGTCATATAGATACTAAATAATTAAAATGGTTCTAAACCGCCCGAGGGAATCTTGCCTCTGAATGTTGATATATCTGGCTCCAATGATATACTCTTTTCAGTCTTTAATCCTATACATTACATTTTTTCTCTAAAATAAATTAACAACTCAACATAAAAGTCCCTAATCCACATTAAAAAAGAGAAATAGATGGCAACATTTGATTTGATTTTATTTACGTCTTTAAAATAGTATGTTAAAAGAAAATAAATCCAGACTTGTATATTTTATACAAAGAAATTGTAAACGGTGGATGCTTTGACCTGTAGTTGAATTGGTGTAGTGGAACATGTGAGCATGGGTCTGGCTGAAATCAGTTATTGGATTTACTGTTAAGAAGTTCTTTAATAGCAGTCTGGAGTCAGGGAGATGTTTCATCCCCTCGTCTCGGGAAGCACGTAAATCCGTTGGTCCTGTGCCTGATCTCTCTTCGGTCATTTCAGATGGTCTTCCCATTGGACTGTGAGAGTGAAGCAATATGAGTGCACTTCTGTTTATGAACACACTCGTGCGCTACAATCACACCTAGAGCACCTTGCCCGGCGGCAGATCTTCCCTTTTCCTTCCACCGGCTGCACTGGTGACCCCGACGTGATATGAACACGCAACCCAACAACCTTTAGTGTAGCCGGTGGAAGGAAAAGGGGAGATCTCCCGCCGGGCAAGGTGTTCTGCCCGGGGAGCGGCCAACACTCCGAGTGGCAGTTCGGAGCTATTCTATATATACTGCTTTAACTTCGAGACTTTGTTAGAGCGATTTATGCTTTGATGTGTGTCGCTTGTGGCGCGACGATAGCGCCGCCACACTGCCATGACAGGTTAGTCCGTAGAGATTTAGATTGCAAAATGGCTAATAAAGAAATCGGCGGAAGTTAGAGACTATTGGTACTTCAGTCGACCCCTCCGGTCGCATTGATTAAGGCAGTGAGGCATTCTGAGAGAGATCTGTTTTGTTCTGTTTACAGATTGATGATGACGAGGAAGAATTAAAATCTGTCATATCAGTTTACTTACTTCAAAATGGCGACCATCCACGGGAACTCGGCGAACTTTGCCTCCCCACCGACGTCGCCGGTGGTAAAGAGTCCGACCCCGTTTGGATTCCTCCAGCCACAGCCTTGACGCTGAGGAATTATAACAAATGTATGCCAATGATTCTCCATGACCTCATTTCTAAGTGGCGCCCCCCTGGTGGTATCAAAGGTCGTGGATACCCTGGGCAACAATGTTTTTGCCCAATTTGGGATAATTTCAAATAAAAGTAGAAGTCTTATTTACTCGTATATTCAAAAACTGCATTAACGGTATATCGTTAATTATGAATTTGTACTTAAGTTTAAAATTTTGCAAGAATAAAAATGCAGATGCATTGTCACTCCTGAGGACTAAGATGGAATGAGGAAAAGAGGTATTCTATTTTAGTTCTCACGGCTGACAACGCATCTGCATTTTGATTAGCAAACGAAGATAGATGTAAATGTTTATCGGCCACAGCAACCACTTACCATCAGGTGGACTGTGTGCTCGTTTGTCATCCTTTTTCTATATAAAAAAAAAACATAATATAGCTGCAGCGTGGCTCTACCATGTAAACAATTTAATGGCTAAGAAAGAGATAGACTTACAACGAATTTCTTTCTAGATACACACCTGATAATTGGGATTGGGCGTAAGTATGGGTTGAATTTGTATATCGGGCGGTAGACAGCAAGTGTCTAAATAGGAAGAACAGGGACCATCACGCATTCTGTAAAATAAATATTTTATAAAGAAGTATTAAATGAACTTTTGCCGTTTGGATGCGGCGTGAAAGAATAATGTCCTCCGGCCAGTATTGACGTAGACTAGCCATCTGCGCAGGACAGGCTTATAGTGCACGAGTGTATGTGCAAGCACAGGTGCAATGTATTGCCTCACTCTCATAGTCCGATGGGACAGAGAGATCAGGCGCAAGACCAACGGCTTTACTTGCTTTCCGAGTCACGAGGGTCACACACCATCAGCTACTCCGGGCTGCTAATGAGAATTTTGTGACAGAAAAACCAATAACTGATTTTGCCCAACCCGGTATACGAACCCGGGTCATGGTCAGCAATAGAGTTTACAACCACTAGAACAAAGAGGCAGTCAAAGAAATGACGTAAAAGAATCAGTAGCTAGTGTCGTAAGAAGCTGCATGGCATGGAGTATGGAGTAGAAGGAGAACGTTTTTATACGTGGTGGAGCCATGCTGCAGCTATGTTAGTAGTATAGTTGTAGCATGAATGTGTCGGCTCGACCGAAGAAGGACCACGCTCTCACAGAATACCAGCGTAAAATAGCAGCATAATCCTGCTGTGTTTCGTATGGTGAGTGTAGAGAACCGGAGACCCATTTTACTGGAAAAGAGGCATTCCATCTTAGTCCTCACGGGTGATGACGCATCTGCATTCTGATTCTTTATTGAGGATAAATGTAGATGTCTATGGGCCACAGCAACCATTTACCATTAGGTGGACTGTGTGCTCGTTTGTCACCCTATCCTAATAAAAAACAACTATCTCATATGAGGGGAAAGTTGAAAAAAGTGTCCAACTGTATACTGAAAATATAGGTTTCCAAAATCTACCACAATAGCGCTGGCGTCTGAAAAACTACGGTATGAATATAGCTGTTGTAGACGATGTGAAGTCAGCTGAATTCAAATGTTTAAAAAAAATATGACTAGAGTAGTCAGTCAAATGCCAGTAGCCCAGTATACAAAACCTCAACTATTTACGTAGTACAAAACCAAGCGGATTGGTCGGTCCTTGTTTATTTCTCCATCTTGTTCTAATTAACTTTGGCGCTTTTTTTAAAAAAATTATCCTATGCTACTGCAGCGCTACCCTTATTGGACGCGTTGTTACGGACACTTCGCATCATGGGGGTTAGAGAGAAGGAGAACGATCGCTGTAGAAAATAGTGTCCCAGAAATATGGACAAAATAACTGAGGCGCTGCGATCGCTAAGTTGTCTCAATAAAAGCGGGCTGTTGTGCGCTAGTTTGAAATGTAATTATTATTTATTAATAAATAAATTATGTTTTTATAATTTTAATTATTATAAATATTATAAATTATTATAAATATAAATGATTAATTATTATTGATTTATTATTATTTTTGTACATCATTCAACTAACTTCATCTACTTGTACTCATAAATAGCTAACTCCGCAGACACTACTTACCGACGGCAGCGCCGCTATAAATTATACAAATTTTCAGGGACAGGCGGGCTTTGTTTTAGTACGTAGCGACGTTCTCCTCTCTAACATATATATATATAACATCTTCGTATACAGAGATGGTCCTCCTTCTACTCTATACTCCATGCTGCATGGGAAATCCAAGAAATTTCTCATAGCTTTCAATAGATGGCGGTATTACCATAACGTTTACGGCAGACGTAATATAGGTACCCAAGCCAGCGATGGTCAGCAGCGTGAACAGTGCGTGCAATATTCATTTTGCACAGTGTTCTATAACTCGTGATGTGTGGAAAGAACTTATAATCTGTACATGCAAAAAAAATGTTAACAATGTATTTATCAGTCCCCTGATTACTGCTATGGTGATGGCATTTGATGTAATAATGATTTTCTTACCTACTAGCTGGTACCCGGCGCGTTACTGCCGTAGAAGAAAAAATAGCGGGAATATCGTCTTAAATTTGGAAGGGTTATATTGTTTAATTAGGGATGATAATACTGCCTGTTGTAAGTTAATTGTACTATGCCTATAACCTTCGTGTAAGTGCAAACAATACGTTGACAAAGTTTTAGCGCATTCTGATGAACGGTACGGCAGTCCATAAAATACGAACAAACAAACAATAATTTTTAATATTAGATAGGCTGTAAATGAAAATATACCATTGCATTTAAGAAGTGCTCGATAAGATTGAGAACAGCTCCGTGGCGCAGTGGCTTAGCGGCTTAGCAATGAGTTGCAGCGCTGAGTGTCGCGAGTTTGAATAGTGCACAAAAATAAAATTCTGTCAATACAAAACTCACACATAACAATTAAAACAATAAACTAACAATTTCACACACAATAGATACATTGTAATTTTATCGCTCAGTGACAGCGACAACTTGCATCAGTCGCTCGACTGATCTGCATGTGTGTAGTGTGTTGGTAAACAAATCCGAATCAACTGTTTTTATTGTAATGTTTAAGTTTAAAAAGAAGTAAATAGCAATTGTGTTTTTTAAAAACTACTCATATATGAAAAGAAAACCATCTTTTTGTAAATTTGACGTGGCATATATTTTTTTGCAGCAAAATAACTGAGCAATTCGGTATTTTTATAGGACCTCGATTCAGCCGCTCAACTAGATAAAGTCTAGTGAGCAGTGCGGCTGCAACTAGTTTTATTGCACGCATAGGATCGCGTGGCTACTCTATAGACGTATGGCTACTCCCATCCGATGCGATGTGAGTGGCCCGTGTTGCTTTAAATGTTTGATGTATTTATTCTTTTTGGCTAAAGGCCTTGTAGCCAACACTTCATCAATAAATAAATAAAATCTTACCTGATGTCAATGACATTGCTGCCATCAGTGTTGGCGGTATTATTGTCGTTGCAGAGGTAGTATATGACACACTCCCCACGCAGCTTGTCGCTGGTCATACACCTCTCGACCACCTCACCTTTAGAAGGCAAAAATATTAGGGTCATACACATACATATGTGTAGAAGAGAGGCGTAAGTCCTGTCTGAACTTACGCCTCTCTTCTACGGAACTCTCTTCTTATTTTCTCTGGAAAAACTGTATGATAAATTGTCCAAGGGCTAATCAGAACATCATGTACTTTTGGCAAATTTCAAAAAGTAAGCAGTTCTCTATTTGACTGTATTTTTTTGCATGTACTCGTATGCTACGCAATATCTTAACCGATTGTGAAGAGGTATTATACGTGTAGAGCCACCCTGCGGCTATGCATATATAAAAAAAACTTCTATGAGAATCAGATCGAATTATAAAATTTAATGCTTGAGATATGTACCTCCGGCAGTGTTCAATGTGGGTGATGTAGTTTTATACATGTTTTCCAAATGCTGCATGATGGCGTCCAGGTCGCCACCATTGACGATGGCTTCACAGCCAACCACCACGACCAGCGCTACAATCAAAACTGTCCAGCACATCTGGAAAAATAAGACGGTACAGATAGTTTTTTGATCAGCAGGTAATGGAGATCTATTTTTTTTCTGACGTGTCAATTTTACGTGGTAACGAAGGGGTCGGCTCGAACCGGGAAGGGTTACGCTCGCATAGAAACGTAAGGTGCTGCTGTATTTCTTGTGGTGAGTACCGAGAAGCAGACGCTTTGGCCTCAGGTGTGACAACGCATCTGCATGTTAATTCTTATGCGAGGATCTGATCTGATCTGATCTTCTGTGTGAGTGGACTGTGGGCTCGTTTGTCACCTTGTTGCTGAAGGGCGACAAATGGTGATATATCTATTTGAGAATACCAAGAACACCTTCAAGAAACGAGCTTACCTTGTTTAAAAGACTGGCAACGCTCCTGCGATTCCCCTGGTGTTACAGTTGTTTATGGGCTGCGGTCGACACTTACCATCAGGTGAGCTGCATGCTCGTTTGCCTCCTCTACTATAAAAAGTAAACCATACCCAAATCTCATAGACTGATAATCTACATGTGAGATTTTAGTTTCAGAAGACGGGTATAATCTTCCCGTTCTGCCCTGCAAGGAAGTGTCCAAGAGATTCCACAACAAAAGGAGGAGACCTTATACAAGGAGCCACTCAATTGTTCTACCCGTCTATTAACGCTTATGTAGACACTGCCCCGATTCTTATAGCTCGCCATACGAAACACAGTACCCCTATGATGGTATTATACGTTGGTATTTTGTGCAAGCGTGGTACTTCCCGGGTCGAGTCAACCCATTCGCGGTACAACCATAATATAGCTGCCAAAATCCTTACCGTTACAGACTATTGAAGTCCACTGCTGAACATAACTTCCCCATAGATTGCCTTATAGGGCAAACGGGTTGGCAACCGCAGTTTTTTATTATTAGTCGTTATTAGGAAGACGCTGCTGCCCATCTCCCGATTTGTTTCCCTCTGTCGCCTCTTAAGACACCCACGGAATGATATGAGGTGGTGGATATTCTTACACCGCCACGATATAGCTGTAGCATAGCTCTATATGTAAGAATCTTGTTAATTAACAGTCAGGTGAACATTTTGAGAAGAGGAATCATGCCTACGCAAATTAAAACAGGAACCTGTCTCCGAAAGTGGGTCATTTGGAAGTAGTTAATGATTTAGAATTGCATACTAATTTGACAATACTATAAATCACAGGCTTAATAGGTGATTAATTGGTTTTGAAATTATGACGTCATGAATGCTAATTGATACTGAAATAAATTCTGTGATAATGTAAGAAGAAACTGCTTTACTGTCTGTTTTGTTTTCAAACCGCAGTGACAAACGAACTAACGGTCCACCTGGTGATCCTGGTGGTAAGTAGCAACTTCCGTCAATGATTCAATGAACACTTGCAGCCAACGTCAAACAAAAGCCGCGTCTCCATCAAAAATGTCGACAACATTTATGTTTACAACTGTTGACAAACCAACATTTGTTTCCGAAAATGTTTCAAAATGTTCCAAAAAGCGTCTCCACCGAGGGAGCAAATGTTTGCAACAAGCGTCTTCCTTTGATGTTGCCGCCGAAAATGGAAACACGATTCCCGACGTTGTTTCGTTTTGTTGCTAAAACTAGGTGATTACAGAAACATTTGTTGGCAACACGTGTTGGCAACTGTTGTGTTGGCAACAAAACTTTGGTGGAGACGCGCCATAAGAAAGCTACGGCGACGCGTCACATAAGGACTAAGTTGGAATGGCTCACAGTCTGTAGTCATACTGGCTCTCTTTACCCTACAGACCTTCCGGTCTCACAGCATTCGGTTCCTTTTATATTTTAAATTCAAAAAGCGTGGTAATGCATTATTTTAACGGATTTATCACATATTAGTAGGGGTCGATCGGTATGCAAAAAAAAAAGTAGTGAATTTGGGATAATTTCAAATAAAAATAGAAGCCTTATTTACTCCTATTTCTGAAACTGCATTAACGGTATACCTTTATATATATTATACTTAAGTTAAAGATTTGGCTACTCTTTGAAAAATAACCCTGTAAAACGTGTCATCTTTTGTAACTATTTATATACTAGCTGTTCCCCGCGACTTCGCCCGCGTGTTATTTAGAGTTTTGATTTTTTTTGCACGGAACCCTAATCCGTTTTCTAAATTAAAAGTAGCCTAAATTACACATCAGCTATCTGCCAGTGACAGTCCCATCACAATCGGTCCAGCCGTTTCGGAGATTAGCCGGAACAAACAGAATGACAGACGGACGGACAGACAGACAGACAAAAACTTTAAAAATTGTATTTTTGTTATTAATACCATATATTATACTTTCATATGTATTTAGTAAAAAGTTGTTATTTTGACAACACAAACAGACACTTCAATTTTATTTATTTGTATAGATTAACTCCAGTGCGCTCCGTACTGCCGGACGGTTATAATTTCAATCTATTGTATCTATTCTAATCTAAATAAATATATTTATTTATAAATAATACGCGATCTTAACGATCTATGTAAATTAATATATTTTACTATTATTTTATTATTACGGTAATCCTCGAATCCGGCAACTTGCTCTATTACCGGGAGGGCGACCATCTGTCCCAAGATTTATCGTCCACAAGTCTCTCGTTAACAACGTTGTAAAGATTGAGAGTGTGTCGACGAGGGTTGCGTACCTTATACTCAGAATCACCAAACGGTATTCGCTGAAGGTCATACAGGTTTACGCACCAACCTCGGCACACCCCGATGAGGAGGTGGAGGAAATGTATGGGGATATCTCTAGAGCCATGCATTCCTCCAAAACCCAATATACGGTGTTAATGGGAGACTTCAATGCAAAACTAGGCACAAGGGAGAATGGTGAGCTGAAAGTAGGGAAATTTGGAATAGGGCAACGGAACCCAAGAGGCCAGCAGCTGGCCGACTTCATGGAGAAAGAGGGACTCTTTATGATGAACTCTTTCTTCCAGAAGCGGCCTCACAGGAAGTGGACCTGGTCGAGCCCCGACGATTCGACAAAAAATGAGATTGACTTCATTATGACGACCAGACGACAACTGTTCAGTGATGTCTCAGTGATCGCGAGGGTGAAAACCGGCAGCGATCACCGAATGGTTAGAGGCACACTGAACCTAAACGTTAAGTTGGAGAGGTCTCATCTAATGAAGTCGACGCTCCGTCCCACTCGTGCTCTAATCCAAAGTCCCGAAACCTTTCAGCTCGAGTTACAAAACCGTTTTCAGTGCCTATAAGACTGCAATGAAGTGGACGATATGAATGACAAGCTCGTGGAAACCGTCCATGCGGTCGGAGCTAAGTTTTGCAAGACCCGCCGCAGAAGAACACAAAAACTCTCCAATCACACTCTTAATCTCATGGCTGTTAGACGGGAGATGAAGCTACATTCTTCAACAGATTTGACAGCATACAGGCAACTGAACAGACAGATCTCCAAATGCATGCGGCGGGACTTACGCAACTTCAATACAGCTCGTATTGAAGAAGCGATCGAGCGGAACCAAGGCTCCAAAGTCTTTGCCAGAATCTGCCTGCCAGAAAGAGCCAACTGTCAAAGCTGAAGACAGAGTGTGGCGGCATCGTTTCCGGGGCACCTGAGATTTTGAGTGAGATTGAGAGGTTCTATGGGCAGCTGTACACGTCATCGTTGGAGCCACACGCGAGTGTGAGTAACGATCTATGAGCGAGTCTTATCCGACATTATTCCAAAGATATTCCGGACGTCAGTCTGAGCGAGATTAGAATGGCTCTCCAGCACCTTAAAAACGGCAAGGCCCCAGGCGAGGATGGAATTACAGCGGAGCTTCTGAAAGCGGGTGGAAAACCGGTACTTGAAGTCCTTCAGAAGCTCTTTAATTCCGTCCTCCATGGTGGCATTACACCGGAGGCTTGGAGCAGAAGTGCGGTGGTCTTGTTCTTTAAGAAAGGCGACAACGCTCTCTTGAAGAACTACAGACCGATTTCCCTTCTGAGCCGCGTCTACGTGCTGTTTTCGAGAATCATTACGAATCGTTTCGCGCGCAGACTTGACGACTTCCAGCCTCCCGAACAAGCCGGTTTCCGAAAAGGCTTTTGCACCTTAGACCACATACATACCCTTCGGCAAATTGTACAAAAGTCAGAGGAGTACAATTTGCCACTATGTCTGGCGTATGTGGACTATGAGAAAGCCTTTGATTCCGTCGAAATTTGGGCGGTGCTGCAGTCCCTTCAGCGGTGCCAAGTGGACTGTCGATATATCGAAGTGCTGAAGTGCTTGTAAAATAGGGCTACGATGGCTATCCGAGTACAGAACCAGAGTACGAAACCTATCCAATTGCAGAGAGGTGTAAGACAGGGTGACGTCATATCCCCGAAACTCTTCACCGCTGCATTGGAAGACGTTTTCAAGCTTCTGGACTGGAAAGGGTACGGTATCAACATCAATGGCGAGTACATCACTCACCTTCGATTTGCCGACGATATAGTCCTTATGGCAGAATCGCTGAAGGACCTAAGCACTATGCTCAATGACCTCAATAGTGCTTCCCAACGGATAGGTCTTAAGATGAACATGGACAAAACAAAGATCATGTTTAAGGTCCATGTCACACCTATGCCGGTAGTTGTTGGGGGCACTAAGCTCAAAGTTGTTGACGAGTATGTTTACCTGGGACAAATAGTCCGACTAGGTAAGTCCAACTTCGACCGAGAGGTCAGCACTCAGCACTTCGATATATCGACAGTCCACTTGGCACCGCTGAAGGGACTGCAGCACCGCCCAAATTTCGACGGAATCAAAGGCTTTCTCATAGTCCACATACGCCAGACATAGTGGCAAATTGTACTCCTCTGACTTTTGTACAATTTGCCGAAGGGTATGTATGTGGTCTATGGTGCTAAAGCCTTTTCGGAAACCGGATTGTTCGGGAGGCTGGAAGTCGTCAAGTCTGCGCGCGAGACGATTCGTAATGATTCTCGAAAACAGCACGTAGACGCGGCTCAGA